TATTTTAGCAAAATTCAAATCCCTTATCATTCCCCTGAGCTTTGTTTAAATGGCATGAGATCACATTGTATAAGAATATTATCCCCATGAATATTATAATTTATTGGCAGAAATTTATTCGTGCTTCAACGGTTACGGAAAAGATTGGCGCCAAAATTTTTGTCACAAGGAACAAAGAATATAATGAAGGTTGTTGTGTAGGGTTATCATAGGATCTTTTGTTTATGATTAAAATATCAAAATCATAATCAATTTTATATAGTTTTTTTTTATAAAATGTAATCAAAAAAACTTTCTTTAAGGTGCAAAAATTTTGGAATAGAAAAATAATATGTTAAATGCGATAAAACGAATGGAAAATATACAAAAACAAATTATGAAGTGAATAAAACAAATTATTAAATGAATAAAACAAGAAAACTTTTGGGTTAATTATTGTATAGCATCAAATGTTATTGATTTTTTATACAAAAAAAAAATGGTTTTTTTCGATTAACGTTTGTGGCTTTATCGGTGAATGCATATAACGTTAACCATATTAAAGATCTGGATTGGAATCCAGGAAGGACGTGTTTTTCTTTTCTTCTCAACTAGTAGGTTCTACGGGGTGCTATATATGTATAATATCTGTCGTAACCACGTGTTTCCGTTAGGGTCGTTGTTTAGTTGACTTGCTATATGATGACCAACCCTCATTACCCAAAACCTTTATTAGCCCATATATGGTCTTCCAATAGAAATAAGGAATAAATGAACCAATAGAAATACGAATTTTTTTTTGAAAGAAACAATTTAATATTCATAATAATTATACATATGCAAGAGAAAATATCTTATCTCCCCAATTGGATTTTTTTAAAATTTAATATTTTAAAAATGAGGTTTATGACAAAATATAGACAAGTTAAATGTAAATTAATTTTTAACAAAAAATGATCGAATTTCGCACATTAGTCAGAAATATTGTTATATAACTAGTATTTATCTCATTTTAGATTAGAACAAAATCTAATTCAAGATTATGATCCCATCCACCATGATTCGAAGTAGTTATAACTATTTCATGATACTTCTAAGAATAATTATTTTAGGCAAAATCTTTGAATATATATAACCGGAAATGCGATAATGAGCGATTACGAAGATTCGCCATATTTCGGCATTATGACGTTCTCAAATAATGGGTAAATATAAAAAAATAACTATATACAAAATACGTGCTTCGATGCCGATAAATTCATCCAAACATTTTAAAAAAAATAAAATAAATAATTATCGACTATTTTATATTTTTTATGAGGAGTAATAAATACTTTATTGGTTTTAAGTATTATTTTGCATTTTTGTTATAATGTCTATGAACCGAATGTATAACAGAGTAGCGTTATAAAGGGAGAGATGAAAGGGGAGGGGGGTCGCGCAGGGGCCCAAATCCCCCTTGAAAAATTTGAGGAGTGCCCTGAGATTGTAAAAGCTAGTTGATCCGATCCGTCTCTGGTGTAACATATTTATGTAAATTCAGGGTGGGTAGGTAGAAGCCCTAGGGGGGGGGGGCTGGATGGACAGGGTAGAACTTCACAAATGAATATCCGAATCGATCTAGGATCGGAATGCAATGTTGTTATAACGGCACGATTTTGGCCGATTTTTTAAAAACAAACTATAAAACTCAATATTTTTTCCAGGCAAAATATTACTCCAAGCTTGAAGGTTTCGCTCTCTCTTAGATGGCACGAATGTGTTTGGGACAATCTATATTAGCGAAATGTCGAGGCTAATGGGCGATATTTTTCTGGGCCAAAATGATTAAATAGAATCATTTATTAAGACTACCGAAATTTTTGTATCTTCGAGAACGCTTAATGAGTTCATGTAATATAGTGTAGTAATGAATATCGATTTTTTTAATTATAAATTTGCTAAAAATTCCGGTAATTTATATTCATGTGTTTAAATTGTCCTTTATAAATATCGTATATTTTTTTAAATATTTTTTTGGGAATTTTAAATTTTTTAAAATTTTATCTCAATTTTGAAATCAAAAAACATTTTTAAATTTGTATTAATCGTATAAAAAAGATATTTTTTAAAAAAAACAATATTCAGTTCATTGAATTTGTGATAATAGGAATAGATAAAACAAATCAATCTCGCTTCTTTTTTTTTAACCTTAATTTTAATTACGAAATGCGATAAATATTATGTTATATTAGATGACAATTTTCCTCCCCCCCCCCCCACCTCGTTGTTTTTAAAAAAAATACTTTTTGTTTTTTTTTCGGATGGAATAAAGAAGTAGAACAGGTCGATTTACGTGGAATTCCAATGCAAGCTGTGAAACCCATCAACTCATCATGAGATTAGAATCATTTTATAAGGGCCGTTACCCTAAGGCTGTTTAGAGAACACCAAAGAGGTTCCTAGGGAGTAATGAGTATGTTGGCTATTTTGAAAGACCTTCTTTATGGCGATGTTGATTGGTGGGGGGGGGGGGGTCCTTTCGATAATTCCTAGTGTAGATAAAGGTAATCGCCCATTTTTACCGAACTAGAATCTTTACAACAAGAAGCATGTACAAGAAAAGGGAGGGGGCTAGTGTAAACGGCTCGTTTTGAGGCGATTTTTAAAAACGGCCAACTCAATATTTAAGCCAGAAAAATATTGTCCTAAGGCTCGAGATTTCGCTAATTGAAGTTCTAAACCTTTGTGGCCATCTATGAGCAATATCTTCAGGGCTTGAGTAATATTATTCTAGATAAACTATTGAGTTGGCTGTTTAGCAACACTAGGAGGGACTATGTAACAAGAGACACGTAGCTCTGAAAGATGTCTAGGAACTGTTTCAGTAACACCCCAATATCCATGTTTATAGTAAATTCAAAATTGGTAACATCCGTAGTTCGTAGCTTCGAAAGAGAGGAGTTCGACGGAACGTTCAAACAGCAGAAAGTCCCGATCCTTTTGACGCGTCAAGAGTGGGCGATCGAATAAACTAAAACTATATAGGAAGAGAAGGGGGATGGGGTTAATAATAAAATAAATTATGTATTCCGATTTATAATGAGCTGGGTAGGACATCCTAGGGTATTAAAATTTCGAGCTAACTTTGGATTAATAATTTAAAATAAAATAAGTTACAATATATGTATCTCTTTGTATTTTTAAGAGATGTGTCTAACTAAAATACTAAATATATATATATATATATAATTATTATAATAAATTCACAAAAAATTATTTTGGTTACTTACGATAAGTTCCAATTTACAAATACACAATACGGATGTCCAAACACGATATTTATAGACGGTTGTTATAGAAATCTAGCCGTAGAGGGCGAGACACAAGAGTAATTAATATTGGTGAAAAAATAAATGTAAAGGCCCGAAAAATTAGTACAAAAACAAAAAAATTTAAAGGAGGGCCGGGTAGGGTTTTTTCGTAGCCGGACCGGACAAAAAATCTGGACCGGTGGGGCAACTTGGACAGAACTTCTTAACTAGGCACGGAATGTGATACATCTCGCTTTAGAAGGAAGAAAATGGTGAATAGGAAAAACCGAATTAAAATTTCTTTTATGTTTGTCTAAAAAAAAAACGAACGCGAATAATAAATATGGAGTCTTCTCTTTTTTTTTGGAAATTTAGTATCCTTCCGCCTAAATTAATTTCGTAAAAAAAAAGTTTTTAAAGATGGTGTCCTTCCGCCCTAAATTAATATTGAAATAATGTTAAAAAAAATTAGTATCCTTCCGCTTAGATTAATATTGAAAAAAAAAACTCAACGTGTTGACAAATGACTTAAAACGCAATCTTTTAGGGCGTGTAATTAATATTTAAAATCATTTATTGTGGACGATTTTAAAATTCTAAACATCTGATTTGACCGGAAATGTATTTCGCTAGGCATCGAGTGTACTCACATCGCGAATTTCGAGCAATTTGGCAGCAGTGAACCTCAGAAAACTACTCTTAATGGATATTCTAATTTTAATTAGGATTATGCACAAAAAGTTTATGACTAATGTCTGAAATCGACAGGATAGGTTGCTCTAACCATGCTAGATGACGTTTCCGGTTAAATTGGATTTTTAAAAGTTTCCCCACAGGCCAAACGATTTTATTATCAAGAGATTTTTAAATCTCAATAGATTGGTTTTGTTTTATACCTTGGATTAAGTAATGGTCAGAACTCAGATCTGAGCATGCGCGATTTTGAACAAGTCTCATCGTATTGTCACGACAAAATTTATAATTGTTTTCGCTTAAAAGAAGAAAAAAAAATGTACATAAATTAATCTATTGATTTTCAAATTTTCTAGAAAATAAAAATTTTTTTATTTTATATTATAGATAAATTAATAAAAATTTAGTTTTTATTTTCCCAACCAATTCCTTCCACAAGGAAAATATAAAAAATATTATCTAGTGTATATTTGATATAATTTGAAAAAAAATATTTCATCAAGGTCATTTTCATCATTTGGAATAATATTTGATCTGATATTATTATGGATTTTATAAGATATATTGGTTGTCCATCATTTAATCGTTTTAGGTAAAATGGTGTCTTAAAAAGTTTCTTTCTTTCTTTCTTTCTTTCTTTCTTTCATTTCTTTCTTTCTTTCTTTCTTTCTTTCTTTCTTTCTTTCTTTCTTTCTTTCTTTCTTTCTTTCTTTCTTTCTTTCTTTCTTTCTTTCTTTCTTTCACATGTCTTTTCTTTAGTTGCAAATATATAAGAATAAACAAAAGCTTTTATTTTTAAGATTAAAAAGGTTAAATTTTGACAATTAAATAATATTACCGCAAAAAATTAAATAAAATATATATATAAATAAATGTTTATTTCTATTTAAAAAATTAAATATAAAAAAATTAAATTTAAAAAATATGTTTAGATTTACAAAAAAAAATTTGACAATTCGAAAAAATTTTAGTAAAAAGAAAATCTAAAAAATTTTAAATTTTGGTTAAAAAATATTATTTTAATTTTTTTTTTTTAAATATTTTTTTAAAATTAAATGAAATAAATGAAAATTATTGGATTTCTTATCAATCACAAATTCGTATTATTAATAACGATAATAATCCACGTTTATAGCGATTTAACGCGCGATAAAATATGGGGTGTCCGAGCGGATATAGACTTTTCTTACAGGGAAGGATGCATCATAGAAACGTGGGGAAAAAAATACCCCAGTTGTGTTAACGTTCCGTACACTCGAACGCAGCTCGCGGCTAAAAGCAACGGTAATCTGAGTAGCGTCGAATCGCCCTCGCTTTCCGTACAGTCACCGATAAATATCAGAACGAGCGAAACCATCAAAGCCTACTTCAAGGATTATTCTCTCCATTTCCGGAATTACGAATTGGAGAGTCCGGTTACCGGTACGTGGAGAATAGAAAAAACGCGTTACGGGTTTCTGCTAAAGGTAAACGGTATATTGCCCTTCATAGAAGTGCTGCTCGGGGATGGGAAGGCGGTAGCCTACGAGTTCGTGCAGGCCCATTTCCACTGGGGCGTAGGCGGGGGGAGCACGGTGGGCTCCGAACATTCTATCGACTGCCAATTTTACCAGTTAGAAGGCCATTTGTTGCACAGGAGTCTAATCGGGAAGCAAGAGAAATTAGCGGTGGTGGCGGTGTTCTACGAATTGATCGACGAAAAGGAAGGAGGAGCGAAGGAAAGCGCGCCGGAGCCAAAAAATTTGCGAGCCATTGTTGACGCCATCAAATCTAGCGAAAATGAGTTGAAGTCCGAAATCCCGATAAACACCAGCTTCAGTCTGAACTTCCTATTACCTGAAAGTGTTTGGCAGACTAAAGGGAACACTCCTTTTTACAAATACCTGGGGTCGCTTACGGCTCCGCCCTGCAGTGAGACGGTGACCTGGTTGATTATTAAGGAACCCGCTAAGATCTCTCTCGGACAGTTATCCGCGCTGGAGAATTTAAAGCTGTGCAACGAAAAGGACCACACATGTTTTCCGGATAAATACGTGGGATCCAACAGAAGGCCCACCCAACCAACTAACAAACGACCCATATATTTTGTCTCGGCCAATGGGCGAGCTGCTGTTATAACAAATTTATATGATTGGCAAATATTATCGATGGCGAGTTTATTCGGAATTATTATTGGTGCAATATAGTTTTGGAAAGTAAAAAAAAATTCCTGCCTTTAGCGACTCATCTGAATAAATTTTCTATAATACTCTATTCTTAATTTTAAAAAAAAAAAATTCAGAACTTACCGCGAGGAGAAAAATGTAAGGACCAATCAAAATATATCTCGGCCATATGTTCCAATCTGATTTAAAATCAATATTACGAGATGTTGTATTTACTTCTTTCTTCATTTCATTTTATTTTTAAAAGGTTTTCAAAATTTCTAATTCATAATTTATTTTTCATATTTTATAAATTATTTTTTAAAATATATTATAATACATTATAAATTTCGAATACAAAATAAATCGCGTTATTAGTTAAATTTTTGAGAATAAGGCATCGTTAGCGTTATCTTCAAGGCGTAGCGTTTTACTTAACGCCAGCCTAAATTACAGCTGAGTCAGTTTTTTAAAGATTAATTTTAAGGATAAATGCTTAAAAATCAGAGATAATTATTTCATATAATATTTAAGAAAAAATTCTCCACGATTTTTACAAATCGTATACCGCTTATTTTTAAAACTCATTGCAACATATGTTTTGTCGATTTTTACCTATTTTTATTGGCTTTAATTTTGTAATAACGCAACGCATGAACAAAACGCGTTTACCAAAAATCTGTGTTTTTTTCCAAATGTTCTTTGAAATATTTAAACATTAACATTTTTCTCAATTTATCAATAATGCCCAAATCTCAATTGATTTGTTCCCTTTAGGGAGCTTTAGCTTTCCTTTCTAGAAAAAAATCAACGGTGTTTAGTTAGTTAAAGTTGGTAACAATAAACATATGGTGCCCCTTATATTAATGTGAAACTATATTGATGATCCATATTTTACTATCCTCTTAGGTATACGTGCTGTAATATCAAACATTTTGAGTAGAGGTCCGTACCCATGAATTCCCTGGGGGGAAGGGGGAAGATGTTATTTAAAAATATATCAAGTTTCACGAATTAATTAATTGCTAGTGACTATAAAATACTGACACTATCTATTACACAAATTCAAACGTAAATGAATGATAAAAATATTTGATGTATATGGTTAAGTGGTGTTGTTAAACGACTCGTTTTGAGTTAAAAACGGCCAACTCAATATTTTCGCTAGAAAAATATTGCCCAGGCCCTCGAGATTTCAAGAATATATGTTCTAAACCTTGGTTCCTTCCATGAGCAAAATCTTCAGGCATGCGCAATATTCTTCTGGATAAAATGTTGAGTTAGTCGTTTTTAAAAATCGTCTCAAATCGAGCCGATTAACAACACTGATTGGTTAGCGTGTCAATGTGTTTTTTTTCCGGCAATGTCTTATTTTTTTTTCAACTTTAAAAAATCAATTTTTGAGCGTATAAAAATTTAAATTTAACGTAGTAAATGTATATTCCTTTTTATGAATTTCAACAATTTTGCCCAACAATCTTAATTACAATTTTTATCAGTTTTTTTTTTATCGACAATTCATAAGATTGGTTATCTTAGCATAATTAGAATATATTTCCGGTATAATAACAGATATTTTTTGAAATTTTAAAAAGGTCACGTGCTAAAAAATGATTTAAAGTTGGGAAATTAACACATGGCGGGGGGAAAAAAAAATCACATTTTGACGCTAACGTATAAAATCGGTGTAAATGAATCATTATAAAATTAATGTATCGAAAAGTTCATAGACAAATACTGCAGATAGAAACCCCTGAAATCCTTAGATCCCAACTTCATAAGATTTTCCATCCTAGGCACATCATTCTTTATTATTTAAATATATAGGATTAATGCGCGAAAATATTCTTAAGAATTATTGCAATGTATTCATAAATTTACAAAGGCATCCTAAACAGATTTATAAGTGGCACCTGGATTAATTAAAGAACCTCCCATTTATTTGAGCTGTATAAGGTATCTAAGAAGGGGAAAAAGATTCATCTTATAGTATTCATCGACTGATCCTATATTAATATTGGAACGACGATGGGCTTGCTTTGCTGGGAGTCGAGGCAGGCAAATAATTCCTATTCCTAGAGCACTGCCTTTGATCTTAACGATGACTTCTCTTAATTTATGAAATTCCTTCATTTGCATTTGCACTGATTTCCTTAAGTTCCTGTATAATGCTTTCAGCTATTCTCAATAGTCTCAATCAACAACTGAGCGATGTTATTCCTTTTTTAGAAATATTTTACTTTAGTTTCGCGGGAAATTTTTAAAATTATAAGTTAAATACAATCCCAAGGAAAATTTGAAATCGATATCATTAATTCATAAAAACCCTTCCCCCCCCCCACCTCAGCTGCGTAGGCCCTGTATTTGTATAATTGTAATGCGATTATTATCAAATTATTTTTAAAGCTAAGTTGACTGGAATAAATGCTGGATAATGTTTAATGATATTACCATTATGGCTAACATTGATACGAATAAACCCTGGCCCATACCTGAGTAGGGAAGGTAAAAGCTAGGACCAGTCAGTTATTTTATTTTTTTTTGCGCTGAAACTAATTTGCCAGATTCATATGAGTGATTAGAATAAGTTGATAATAATAGAAGAGTCGTTCTTTTAGGGAAATTTTCATAGAAGATTAGAGAGACAAGGTGTCGATCAATTACCCCAAGTGTGACGTATTTTAATGACAAAAAAAAAGTTATTGTCCATCTAAAAAACACTTCTTCGATGCTAATGCCAAGCCTCGTCTAATATCTATTATTTAATATATTTTGGCTAACAAATATAATTTTGAGTGCCAAAAATGACAAAAAAATTTGGTCTTTAGAAAATGATATTTTGATTTTGATGAGATTGTAAATTTGTTTAATTTTAAGGTGTGGTTTAAAACATTATATTTAAAAAAAAATTTAATGGAAAGATTCGCAAAATTCTATCGAAAAAAACGCAAAGATAAGCGTGGCCATAACTAGACCTGACCTGTGCGCCGATTATATATAGAGCACTACGAGAAAATGCCATCATAGGTCCAATGACATATAATAATACGTAGACAGATGCGTTCATGATAATGCGGTGTGAAAGCGTTCGTTGAATGCAAATCAGCTGGGACCCGCCACTTTTGGTAACTTAAGTAATTATTCTCGTGTTAAAAAAAAACTACTATTAAATTGATAACTTTGCTTCTCTTATTATCTCGATTCATCAGGCAATTCTTTAATAAAGTTTGTGTCAGAGCATAGGAAATAAATTGGTCTCTCGTTTAAAACGTTTAATAACGATACGTGGGTAATCAAAATGGCGTTCGCCAGCTGTTTTTGTTGATGTGCACTTTTAATGAATGCATGCTCAGTCTAGGTATTACTATATTTGTCGTCGCGCAAACTCTAATCTTCACAGACATGCGCAATGCCTTTTTTTAAAAAATATTATTGATACCACTAATAAAATGCAAAATTATGCGTATTTTTTTAAAGACAAAGGCGATTGGTTCCCCGAAGAAATGATTAAGGCTGACATATAGAGTTGCAACGCTGAACGTTAATAAGCGTGATAACCAGGTGTGCTAAGATAAATTATTGGTAGCGATATATTTTAACAAACATAATTAGTTTAATCCTCGGGGAAAAATTTATTTTAGAAAAAAAAAATTAAGAAAATCTCTAATCGGTCGGGGAGAAAATAATTGTCAAATATTATCCATTTTCTAGCAATCGGCTCATCTAAAAAAAAAAGGAAGAAGGTTTCCTTTTCTGGAATTTTATTCCCATAGCTTTAATTTCGGATTAATCAGCTGTTTCGGATTTTAGTCGTATTCTAGAAGATGGTCCAAAAAATGTCAAAATATATAAATTCAAAATATAGGAAAGAACCAATAAATGATTTTCGATCTGATTTTGAAGAATCGAAATTTGGAAAATTATCAACCATTTATTAACCAATAGTCTAAGTAGATCCCGATGCAAAGGATGCAGTTTCGAATAAACGCGTATAAGACATTGGGGAGAGGGTGGGGGGGAATATAGAAAAATGGCAAAACTAAAATTAAGAAAATGGGTAAGAAAATATTAATAAGAACAGCTGATGTGTCACTACGAATTAATTTTGTATTGCGACATAACTTATATAGTGTTTATAGTGTATACTTATAGTTAGTATCAGACATCTGCAGAGGTACTACTTGCATAGCCCGGCCCGGATTTTTTCAAATTATTTTTTCGGCTCGGCCCAACCCGGGTTTTATATTTTCAAGTCCCGGCTCCAGATTTTTCTTTCTTTCTTTCTTTCTTTCTTTCTTTCTAAATTACTTTCGATTTCTTATCTTTCTTTCTTTCTTTCTTTCGTGCTCTGGCTCTTTCTCAAAGGATATTTTTTTCATAAAAATTTCAGGCCCGGACCGGGTATATTTAAAAAACAGGGGTCGGGCTTAGGTCCGGGCCTGTAGATCTCTGAGTTATATTAACGATCAAATCGACCTTTCAATATAGATTTATTTCGTGAATCTAAATGGTGGCACCACAAGGGATATAAGAATATGGACAAAGAGTTTTCGTTATTACTATACAAAAAAATAATGAGTGTTGAAGACACATGACCCACAGCCTTGTTTTTCTATTTAAAATTGCGTATCGAAAAATGGATCATTATACCCCGGTTCATTATAAACCCAGAAACTAGATTTTTTTTAGAAAAAAAAAAATATATAAAATTTGATAAGGCTTTAATTTATATAATAATATTCACGTTCCGCTAATTAAATTTTCTTTTTCATCTCTTTTTTTTAAAAAAAATATAATTATATGTATATATCTTTCCTTTATACTTTTTTAAAAAATAACTAATATAACTTAATTAAATTTATAAAAATTTAAAAAGTAACATACATATACCAAATAAATTTTTTATGCTATAACTAAAAAAAAATCTTCTCTTCTCTTCTCTTCTCTTCTCTTCTCTTCTCTTCTCTTCTCTTCTCTTCTCTTTCTTTCTTTCTTTCTTTCTTTCATTCTTTCAACGGCAATATTAAAAAAAATAAGAACAAGGACATAACTGGCAGAATCATTAAGTTGAATAGGAGGTCTTTCAGAGTTTTTATTGATTGATTGATTGATTGTTTTTTTGACTTTGTCATGGCTATAGACGGAGATTTATGATCATTGGATTTAGAGGATCGTGCCTAAGGTAGTCTGCCCCCTTGAAATATCAGGAAGGCGATCATAGATGATGATCTGAACTTATCGATATGTTAAGAAGGCCAAAGTTGTTTTGCCCAAAGAGTGATAGTTTAATCTTTTATTAGTGAATGAATATAAAAAAATTCTGAGTTAGAAACTTCTTATTGTTTTTAACCCCTCTTTATTCATGGGAGATGACTTTAAAGGCGATGAGCATTGCACAGATTAAAAGGTAAGTGTTTAAACAAAATGCACGCATAAATTAGGATGCGTGCAATGAAGGTCATCTCTATTCCAATGGTCTAGGACTGCTGAGGAGCGTCAAAGATATGGGAGTCACATATCCTTTATTTTAGCGACGGATGAGTCCATCATACCGACGTATAGCGGGGAACGGAGGCCTAGAACGCCTAATTTTGATGTAAAAGAGGTTTGATCATGCAAATATAATAAGTATAGTATATGTCGATAATCATGTACATTAATGCTTACAATTCGTTACTTATTAAAAAATAAAATTTGACTTATAGGTCCAAAAACTATGTTCCAGATTTCCTCTCATCAGCTGTGGGATTGGATGGTATCAGGCCTGTGTATCTCCGTGATCATATAGATATAGACAATTCTTGCTCTCTGATTTTATTGCAAGCATTGACTGATATCTGTAAATCTTCTATTAATTTCATTATTCTTTGGAACCAGGCTAATTACTTTTCAATAGCGAGATCAATGCTTCCGCCCAATTGCAATAGGGGGAAGTCATAAGAAGGATTATTTCGAAAAATTATATGCGAGCGTATAAAAAAACCTAGGGTTTGGCGCATTAAATGGGGAAGCGATACAGCTAGCCACGCGGCAGGAAGTACTTTGGATAACGATCCTTCAGAAACATGCATTCGTTAAGCTTGACACAAAAAAATGCCTTCAATACTTTAAATCTTAATTTTTATTCAATCCAAAGATTCTGAGAAGTCTACCCAGATTATTTCAACTATATCCGGTCAAGCAATTGAACACTGTCATATTACGATATGCCAATCAAACTATCTCATCGGCACAAGGAATACAACAAGTGGATTCACTCGATCCAATCTTTACTCTGCTCATTAACCATAAAGGACATCATCCAAAATATAGAAAATCCAATTGTAATCTCGATCTCAATGTTTGGGTATTTGTATGATACCCACTTAATTCGGGTTCGGGTCCTATCAGTTAAATAGTTAAAACTGTATATGTCAATCATTTCGAATTTCCCAACAACTAAATTTGCCCCCTTATAAATTATAGGATATACTCAACTAAAAATTTTTCTTTCCCAAACTATATTGATCTTCTTTTTTTTCCTCGTGTGATTAAAGATAAAATCTTCATTCTCTTTGGGTTACCTGGAACACAATCCGATTAATCTAGTGTTGCTAAAAAGCCGGCCGATTCTTCAAAACGGCCCGATCAAGATTCCGGCTAAAAAATAGTATTGTTGTAGGCATCGAGATCTGGCGAGCGAATATATGTCCAAGAATTTCTGCCAGCTAAGAGCAAAATCTTTGACGCTTGCATAATGTTATTTTTGGTTATAATCTTAATAGGGCCGTGTCATAAAATCTACATGAATAGGGCTTTTTAACAACAGCTGTTCAATCTGAATTCAAGGCAAAAGAAGATATTCTCAAGCATTTACCTTCTCATCAGGGCATTTTATTAAAGAAAGAAAGAAAAAAAGAAAGAAAGAAAGAAGAGAAAGAAAGAAAGAAAGAAAGAAAGAAAGAAAGAAAGAAAGAAAGAAAGAAAGAAAGAAAGAAAGAAAGAAAGAAAGAAAGAAAGAAAGAAAGAAAGAAAGAAAGAAAGAAAGAAAGAAAGAAAGAAAGAAAAGAGAAGAGAAGATGAAAGAATTTTTTTTTAATATTCCCCAAAAATACAATTCTGCTTTCAGATCATTTGGTGCCATTTATTTCCATCTACACTTCTAAAAAAAAATGGAACAATAATTTAAATCGATATTGGAGAATATTAGTCAACCTAAAATTTCACCAAAAATGGCTAGTTATAAAACCTTGCGGTCTTGGCTTATGATTAAAAAATAAAAATCTAGTTCTCGAAATTAATTAAACCCTTTTGAGGACGCCATGTTAAACAATGTCTTCGTTATGCTGGTTCTGTTAACACTCCTTTGGCGCTATTTATCTATTTTCTAAATTTACGAAAGGATTGGGATGCTGCAATCGCATCGCGCTCTGTCGATTATCTACTCTCGAGCAATGAGACACCTCAGTGTACTCTAACCTTCGTTTCATTGGTAATGGATAAATCAGGTGACGTATGGTTAATAGCTCATCCAATAATATTAAATAAATATCTTTTGACAAATAAGAAATTTTGATATGCTTTGGCTATCTAGACATATATCTCTAACTCTACAACTGTAAAAAGATGAGGGATAATGTTCGATTCTAAAGCTAGATACCCACTCCAATGTTTCCTGAATGTGTACTAATATGCGAGGCGCGAAAGAATTAATAAAAATAATACAAGATTCAATATTCAAAGCAGGTGTTCTTTTACATCTCGAACCTCGGTTTACCTCTGTTATAAATAACTCGTGGCCTGATGAGCATACATCAATCCACTGGAATAAGGGCCTCAGCCAGGGGGGGAGCCCATCTCCCCCCTCACCAAATTTTTTAGGACGCCAAACCTGGCCCTCTCGAAAAAAAAATTTTTTTTTAAAAATATTATTTAATTAATTTATACAAATTAGAAAACATATTTTATTTAAAACTTTCGTTAAATTTTTTTCGTGGAGTTATAATCCAGGAAAATTTAATAAGGAATCATTAATTTTACAATGTCTTTCTGTCTAAAGGTACTAACTAATCGTATTTTTCAAAGCAACTTATGAATTAAATATTAATTCATCGAATATTATATGACAAGCACGTGATGCGCAAACCATGTGTTCAGGCCGAAATGGAGTGGTGCATACTCTGCTTTGGGACTAGTATACATCGCTACTAACACATGTTGCATCTCATGATTTATCTAATGTATGAGTATAATTTTTTTAGGTGTTTAACCGTATCCTGTGAATATACAGAGAGAGTTTTAATCCACAGGGGGCTGATCATTTAGAAATAATCTCGTATCATTTCTAAGAATTTTTAGGCTAATTGGTGAAGTATTATTTTACTTTTCTAATCATAACTCTTAACTCAGATCTTTCCGCATCACGATTCAGTCGAAGCCCTTGGACTTTTATCTCAAGGTATTAGTAACAACAGATCCACTAAATAAATATTCACAGTTGAGTAGGCACTAATGTAGTGGATGCTATAAATTGTATTTGATTCCACGATCAATTTATTGAAAAAAAAATATGAAAAAGTGATAATTTTTTATGATTTGATGAGAAATACAGCTGAGAAACTTATGATCAAAATTTACCCTCATCCCTCTGAAATCATCAAAAGGGCACGTATTATGGCTGACAAATCTTCAAGATTTAATTTGATTGTGAAAGGGGCTTCAATTGGAGTTCTTTAAGAATTATTATAAAATTTTTGATTACTTTGTTAGATCATTTTTTTAGACAGATCTGCACGAGATGACTACAATCTTCTCTTATGTTTTAATACATTCCCTCCCTCACCCCCCCCCTCCTACATCCTTTGACTCTAACAATTTTATATCAGATAAAATGGTCTCATTAGAATCATCATCAACAAACTTAAATATGGGGAAAACGTTACGTCATGAAAATGAAAATAGCAAAATGATTATTTAGCTGCTGAAGTTTAATGGTTAAATAATATGTACAAGAAAAATAACTCCATCTTTCATTTAAAGATGTGTATAAATGCTAACTTCAGAAGCCCATCATCGTGAATCAAAGGCTTTTTGTGAGACCTCATTCTCTAGACTAAAGAGAGTTTAAGATCGACGAAAATAACAAAATTTAGTATTTGTGACTTAGGCGGGTAAAATAACAAATACAGAATTTAGCTTTTAATTCGTTTATGTTAGAAATTTTAAAAAAGAAAAATCGTCGTTTACAAAAATTCTTAATTAAAAAAAAAAATAGGAAAAAAAATTTCTATGAGTGTTAAACAATTTCCCCACCCAGTTGAAATTCCTGATTAAGGCTCTGCCCGGGATATAGGGAAACACATGTTTTGGTACTTCACACGTGTAGACATTTTTCGCGCCATCAAATATAAATTAGGATTCATTAGGCATAGCGGAAAACAGGAAATCCCAAAAATAGTCATTGTGGATGGTTTCAATATAACTGCTTATTTGGGAAAGCGGCTAAATCCCTAATTAATTTTAATTGGTTAAAAGAGCTATGAAAAATGGCAATCTCAAGGAGGTTACAATTTTAAATTATTCAAAGAGAGTGACTATTTTTAAACAAATTTTTTATTTTTTTTTCCCTAAATATGACATCTTATAAGCAATCTACCAATCCTTAAAGCTTATAAAATCTAACTAATAATTAAACATGGCGCTGATAAAATATCTCATCATAGAAACTTCATTAAGAACTATAGAGACTTGGGGCCTTTTAGAAATGTTATTTTCAGCAACAACGAGTTAATTATTTTTTTGCGTGAATTTTTTTTGAAAGAGTAAAAAAAAAAATTTCTAAAAACAGCTGTGTCTACTCTTTAGAAGAACTAAGAGTGCAACCTAACCCTAAAAGGATGGGAGATATCAGGAATCAATTGTTATTCTCAATTAACTTATATTAATTTCCCTATTAATAAATTAATAAGGAAGGATGGCAAGTGAGTTAGTAAAAAAAACCACTCTATTAAGATTTTGTTCTTTCTTTCTTTCTTTCTTTATTTCTTTCTTTCTTTCTTTCTTTCTTTCTTTCTTTCTTCTTCTTTCTTTCTTTCTTTCTTTCTTTCCTAGAAAAAAAGATTGAAAAAAAAAATAAGAAAAATTAAAATTAAAAATGACAAAAAATAAATTAAAATAAGGATTAAAATAAAATTATAAGATGGCAAATTAAATATTTGCAAAAAAAAAATAAAATAAAATATTATAAAACCTATCAAATTAAGTTTAAGAAATCGATGGAAAAAATATTTAAAAAAACCTAATCGCCCTGACACCGCGGTGCGGCTATGCCCGTTCATTTTTGTTAGAATGTTTTTGTGAGTCAAATTGAATGAACCCTGGACTGAAACACCGCCGCTAAGTTAGATGTACGGCGTACGCCGTTCTTCCTTTTAGTAATTTTAACTAATTTTTTATTTAGAACCTGTAATCTTCCCCTGATCCGGCGTTGCGGCGGTAGTAGAAGGTTAAGCGGGGAGGAGTGTTGTGTTTTTAAAATATTTTATAATTTTCATTCGTTTATACCGAGCCCCTGTTTACGATTTTATCCTAAAAAACTGGTTTTAGCCAGTTTTCGAGATTGACGATCACACATGACATTGATTGATTGTAAAAGGGGGGGGGGGGTACTATATAAAGACTCCGAAAAGTGAAATTAAGATCATTAAAAAATTTTTAATGTCGATCACGCTTTATGATTACATTTCATCGTAGATTAAATCATGTTAAATTAATTCTTTCTTTTTTCTTTCTTTTTGGATTACCAATTGTGTAAAATAAAAAAATTCGTGTTACGATAAACCCGTCCGGATTTTGGAGATTATCCGACTAAACCTACAGTCAAATCCGGTCCGCCTGTCCCCTTTATGACCATCTCGGACTCCACGAAAACTCCGTCGATATCTGTCCCACCCCGAGGGGAAGGGCCAGATGGTCGAAATTACACTATCAAATAAACATTAAAGAAATAGATAGAAATTTTTTTAAAAAGATAGATAAATAAATTATAGGAAACACAATATTATTAAATTTTTTAATGTATTATTTGTAACTGTTTTTTTTTTAAAAAAAACAAATTTTGTTTGTTGTTTTTTGAAAAAAATAAATTAAAATGGAAAATATCCTATTTTTTATCAATTTTAAATTAGGATTATTATTTATAACCTTAATAGTTCACGTTTATAACGATTTAACGCGCGGCGATAACATATGGCTAGTTCGGGGCGATGTCGACTTTTCGTATAGAGAAGTAGAAACGTGGGGTAAAGATTACCCTCGTTGTATTAACGTGCCTTACACTCGAACGCTCCTCGCGGCAGAAAAAATCACCAATAATCTTGGTGGCATAGTAGAATCACCGTCATATTCTATGCAGTCACCGATCAATATTAGAACGAGCGAAGCCATCATGGCCGATTTCGAGAATTATTCTCTGCGCTTCAGGGATTATAAATTAGAGAGTTCTCGCACTGGCCGTTGGAGAATAGAGAGAACCCGCTATGGGTTGCTTTTAAAGGTAGACGGTATATTGCCTTTCATCGAATTAAAACTAGGGGGTGGGAACCCGCTAGCCTACGAGTTCGTGCAAGCACATTTTCATTGGGGCGTAGGCGGTGGAAGCGCGGTGGGCTCGGAACATTCGATTGACGGCCGATTTTACCCGTTAGAAGTCCATTTAGTGCATAGGAGTCGAATCGGGAATAAAGATAAATTCGCTGTGGTGGCAGTGTTCTACGAATTAATCGAAGGATCGAATGCAGGCGTGCCAGAACCAAAGAATTTGATAGCCATAACCGATTCCCTGAAATCGAGCAAAAATGAGTTGAAGTCCGAATTCCCTATAAACTCCAGTTTCAGCCTGAACTTCCTCTTGCCGGCAACTATTTGGCGTGGTAACGTTAACACTCCTTTCTACAAATACCTGGGATCGTTTACGGCTCCGCCCTGCAGCGAAACGGTGACATGGTTGATTATGAAGGAACCCGCCAAAATCTCTCTCCGACAATTAACCGCGCTAGAAAATTTGAAGCTATGCAACGAAAATAACCACACGTGTTTTCGTGATAAATACGTGGGATCTAACAGAAGGCCCACCCAATCGACTAACAAGCGGCCCGTTTATTTTGTCTCAGCCAATGGGAAAGTTTCCGCCGCGAATACAGTACTATAAACTTATTTGATTGGCAAATATTAACGAGCAAGTCTATTCGGGATTATAACGCTTTATAGTTGAAATTTTTGCTTATACAACTTATTTAAATTATCTATGATATACTTCTATACGTTTCTTTTTTTGTTTAAAAAATAAATTAAGAAATTTGCGCGAGGAGAAAAGTGGAAGAAAGAAGAACCAATCGAATATATCTCAGCCAAAATCTCCAATCAGATTTGAAATAATTTAAATTTCTTTAATTTCATTTTCCTTATATTTTAGTGGTTTCCGTTTATATCTATGATAATAATTTAATAATTTATTTCTAATTTTTTAAATTTTAAGCACCTTAATATATCGCTAAATTAGTTAATTTTGTTGTGAGCAAGGACAAGTATAAAATATTAGCACTGATTTATAATTTACCATTTAAAATCTAAAGGGTTTTCAATACTCTACGAAATATTATAAGCATTCATTTTATGCAGTTTAAAAAATCTAGTTCATTCCGTTAACGTATAAAATATCAATTTGAAATGTATTTGTTCCCTTTAGGGAAATGTAAAGTTTCCTGATTAGAAAATCAAAGGTGATATGTTAATTTAAAGTTGGTAACATAAATATTCGGTGTTTGATATATCAATAAAGCTACAATGGCTTAACGAATAAACAATGATAACCATGTTTTATAAAACCCTGGCCCATACCTGAGTTGGGTTAGGGGGTCGGATCGTTTTTTGGGTACTAACACAAATTGAGCTATGAAATCAAATATGACTGGTTAGCAGCGCTTCTCTTACGACACTTTCAAGTACATTATTACGAATGCATAAGTCTAGGCTATTATTATATGTCATTGGGGAGGGGGCAATAGAGCCGGAATCTGGAAGAAATTTACATTTATTGGTTGGGTTTAGGGACAAAAGATTTAACAGAATTAGTCGATTTAAAATTATCGCGCCTATTTGAAAATAGGATTACTATATATATTTATTTTGTATTGTTTAAGCGCCGTCTAATTTAAATAAATTACTAAAACCCTTTCTGAAATAAATATGAATATAAGTAAATTCGCAACAAAAAAAAATTAACACGTTATTTATGATATATTATATATCGGTTACAAAATATTCGATTGATTTATAAAACGGTTTGTTACAAAAATGTAGCCATAGAAGGACAGAGACAAGAGCCTTTGAATTCATATTGGGGAAAAATTAGATATAGAGATTAGTGATCTCCATCGGGTCGAATATTTCAAACCCGGCCCGAGCCCGGTTTTTTTGCAGATCTCCAAAAATGTGATGGGCAGAGTGCAAAAAATATTTTGAGGGTTTTAAGGAGGGATTTTTTTTGTAAAATTTTAACCAACCGATCAAAATAATCTGACAGGGCGGGGTAGCTTGGACAAATACCCAATCACGAGCCACAGATCGGTCATTGCAATGGTGCAAGTTAAAATACGAATACGATATCTAGCTTAAGGATAGCCAATTAAATAAGAAAAACAGAATAAATTTTTTCAAAGTTTTTACTCGTATAAAAACCGACTGTGAGTAACAAATATGGAGTCTTGCAACCTTCTATAAAGAATAATTACTTAGAGTCTTTCTACCATTAAATTAATATGGGAAAGGGTCCACTAGTGTTTGAATAAAAAATAAGGCCTAAAAAAGCCAAGCATTTGTAGCTTCTAATTAATGCATCATTAAATCATATGCACGTAATGTGGCTAATACTTAGAAAACAATGACACGCAAAAACTAAATTTCCCTATATAATAAGCTTCCCCATTTCCTATTGGTTGAAAATAAATGATATTTCATATTAATCAATATATACCTTTCAAATCACTTCTTTCCACCATAAATATTGTCAGCATCATTTCTGCCATGGAATTTTGTTTGCACCATTTAAATCGCCCGCTTAATAAGTAAAGTATATGTCGATAATCGTGTTACATTAACGCTTTCAACTCAATATCTATAAATATAAAATTTATAGGTCCAAAGAATTATGTAGCAAATTTCCCCTCATCAGCTGAAGAATTGAATGTTACTCAGGTCAGTCGATCTCCGTGATCCTACAAATATACATAATTATTGCTTCCAATCCCATCGCTGGCATTGAATGATCTTTGTTAACATAATTAGTTAATGAACGGACTTCTACCTCATTTAATTCCGTTATTCTTTGGGAGTCAGGCTAAATCGCTTTACAAAAGCCAGCTCATAGCATCAGCTCAGTGGCATTAGGGGGAGTCATAAGTATATCAGAATTGCCGTCTCTCATTGGAATCATTATCAAACTTAAATATGGAAAAACGTTACGTCATGAAATGAAAATAGCAAAATGATTATTTAGCTCCAGAAACTTTAAAATAAAAACACAAAATAATTTTGAAAATATGGTAAATATTATGAATATTAAAAAAAAGTATCATCTCACGTTTAAAGATTTGTATAAATGCTAACTTCGGCAGTCCATCATGATGAATCAACTGCTTTTTGTTAGATCTCATTTCTCTACACTATCATAAAGTTCGGTTCTAGCACTAGAGAATAGATGGAGGATCGACATAAAACATAATTTAGTAATAATGGCTCATGGAAAAAAATGGTATGGAATTTAGCTATTAGCCAAAAAATTATATGAGTGTCTGTTTGTTTTATTTAAAAATATCGCCACCCAACCCCACCTAAGTAAACAGTTGCTCCTCCCCTCAGCTGGAAATTCTTGGTTGAAGCTCTGCCGGGGATTTAGGGAAACACATGTTTTGGGACTTCACATGTATAGACATTTTTGCGCCATCAAATAATAATTAAGATCCATTAGGTATAACGGAAAATAGGAAATCCCAAAAGTATTATCGTGGTTTTAACATATTTGCTTATTTTGGGGAATAGGCTACCTAATCAAAACTTAATTGCTCAAAAGAGTCAAAAAAATGACACTCTCAAGGACGTTACAATTTTAAATTATTTAAAGATTCATAGCCGTCACCAGAGGAGGAGTGATTATTTTTAACAAAATGTATATTTTTTTTCTAAATATGATATCATATAAGCAATCTACCAATCACGTTAAAGCTTATAAAATCTAAGCTAATAATTAAACACGGCGCTGATAAAATTTTAATATTTCATCACAGAAAATTCACTAGAACTATAGAGTGCTTAGGACCATGTCATTTCAGGAATATCAAGTTAATTAAAAACCTTTATAAAAAAAATAATACTAAAACAGCTGTTTCTACACCTACTCTTAGAAAAACTAAGTAGTGCACCTAACACTAAAGGGTGAGAATAGTGTCGTTAATTGGTTGGTTATGTAAACCCCAGACCTTATATTTGGGTCTAAAAATCGATCAAACCAGATCTGAGCGCGAACCCCGGGTCTGTACTACGGGTCTGTGCTAAGGGTTGGTGCTCAGAGCAGGCCTGAGCACAAAACTGGGTCGTTAGTTTTAAGTGATCTAGCAAATTAACAACACTAGATAAGGAGATATGTTCCTAAATACTAGTATACAGTTTAAAATTATTAAATTAATAAGAAAAAATGGGATTCAATATATAAAAAAAGAAGAAAGATTAATTGTAAGACAGTTAGTAATGTTGTTTAAAAAGCCCTACTTTGTTCTATTCCTAAAGAGTAAAGACTACCCAATTAAGATTTTAGCTAAAATAGTGTTGTGCAAAGCTTAGAAATTTTGCTCGTAGATGGCAAAGAAAGAATTTGAACCTCCATCTACCAAATCTCGAGGCTCCGACCCTAGTTGGGGTTTTTGATAACGCTAGTGAAGTAGGACACAATGACTGACTGACGTTGCATTCATTAGAAGTGTACATCAAACGAAAACAGCTGGGGAAGCCATTTCGATTACACGTATCATTATTTTAAAAAAAAAAAAATTTTGAAAGAGAGGCCAATCCTATGATTGAACCTAAACTTTATAAAAGAAATGCCTGATCATCGAGATAATTAAGGAAGCAATTTATCAATTTAAATAGTAGTTTTTGACGTGAGAATAATTACTATACGGGTTACCAAAATGGCGGATCCAGCTGATTTGCATTCAACGACGCTGACTGCATCGTCAGTCTAGGTATTATTATATGTCATAGGTATAGGAACATTGTGGGCTATGATATAAATAAATTTCAAAAAAAAAACCATATAAGGAAAATGATTAAAAATTTTTCAAAAAAATAAAAAATTATAGATAAAATTAAATACGACAAAAAAAAATAGTTTTTTTAAAAGAAAACTAAGGAAAAGATTGACAAAAATAAAATAAGGAAAATTAAAATTTAAAAAAATGACAAAAAATAAATAAAAATAAGAAAAAATAAAATGACATAGTGACAATTTGATAATTATATATTTGCGAAAAGAAAATATTTAAAACCTAATAGTTTAAGAAATTGACGGTGAAAATTTTAAAAAACGACGAAAAAATATTAAAACTATTAAATAAGTTCAAGAAATTGATACAAAAAATTTTAAAAGATGACGAAAAAATATTAAAAAACCTATCAATTAAGTTTAAGAAATTGATAGAAAAATTTTTAAAAGACGACGAAAAAAATATTAAAAAACTTATCAAATAAGTTTAAGAAATTGACGGCGAAAATTTTAAATATAAATAAATTATAGAAATACAATATTATTATTTTTTTTATAGAAATTTGAAAATTATTTTGTATTAACATTTATTATAAGCCAAAAAGCCATTTCGATATCTTAAAATTGGTTTTTAAATTAAAATGAAAAATATCCGATTTCTTATCAATTTTAAATTAGGATTATTCATAACCTTAATAATCCGTGTTTATGACAACTTTACGCGCGATAACATATGGCTAGTCCGGGGCGATGTCGACTTTTCGTATATAGAAGTAGAAACGTGGGGTAAAGAATACCCTCATTGTATTAACGTCCCTTACACTCGAACGCCCCTCGCGGCAGAAAAAATCGGCAATAATCTTGGTAGTAGCATAGTAGAATCACCGTCATATTCTATGCAGTCACCGATCAATATTAGAACGAGCGAAACCATCAAAGTCGATTTCAATAATTATTCTCTGCGCTTCAGGGATTATAAATTAGATAGTTCTGGCACTGGCCGTTGGAGAATAGAGAGAACTCGTTATGGGTTGCTTTTAAAGGTAGACGGTATATTGCCTTTCATCGAATTAACACTTGGGGGTGGGAACCCGCTAGCCTACGAGTTCGTGCAAGCACATTTCCACTGGGGCGTAGGCGGTGGAAGCGCGGTGGGATCCGAACATTCGATTGACGGCCGATTTTACCCGTTAGAAGTCCACTTAGTGCATAGGAGTCGAATCGGGAATAAAGATAAATTCGCTGTGGTGGCAGTGTTCTACGAATTAATCGACGAGAGAGAGGGATCGAATGCAGGCGTGCCAGAACCAAAGAATTTGATAGCCATAACCGATACCCTGAAATCGAGCGAAAATGAGTTGAAGTCCGAATTCTCTATAAACTCCAGTTTCAGCCTGAACTTCCTATTACCGGAAACTGTTTGGCGGGGTGACGTCAACACCCCTTTCTACAAATACCTGGGATCGTTTACGGCTCCGCCCTGCAACGAAACGGTCACATGGTTGATTATGAAGGAACCCGCCAAAATCTCTCTCCGACAATTAACTGCGTTAGAGCATTTGAAGCTATGCAACGAAAAGGACCATAGGTGTTTTTCGGATAAATTCGTGGGATCTAACAGAAGGCCCACCCAATCAACTAACAAACGGCCCATATATTTTGTCTCGGCCAATGGGAAAGTTTCCGCTGCGAGGACTATAAACTTATTTGATTGGTCAATATTATCGCTTAAAAGTTTATTCGGAATTAACGTGAATTATAGTTTGGAGAAATAGAAATTCCTACTTATAGATTCATTTAAATTTTTTATAATTTACTTCCATACTTTTCTTTTTTGTTTAAAATAATAAATCCGCGAGGAGAAAAATGCAAGAAGGAAGAACCAATCGAATACATCTCCAATATTTCCAATTGGATTATCTCTTCTCTTCTCTTCTCTTCAATTTAATTCTATCTTTCTTTCATTTTCTTTATATTTTAGTGGTTTTCGATGTATATATCTAAATTCATAATTAATTTTTAATTGTTTTAAATTTTAAACACTTAATATATAGCGATATTAGTTGTATAATATTTGCACTGATTTATAATTTATCATTAAATTCCAAGGTTTTTTAATACTCTATGAAATATTATAAACATTCATTATATGCAATTTAGAAATCTAGTTCATTACGATAACGCACAAAATTTCAATTTGTATATTTGACAAATTTGTTCCCTTTAGGGAAATACAACTTTTCCTAATTAAAAGTCATAGCTGATATGTCAATTTAAAGTAGGTAACACAAAAATACGGTGTTTGATATTACAATATAATGCTAGATGACTTAAATACCATTATGATGACAACAAACAAATAATAATAACCATGTTTTGTAAAAAAAAAAATACTGACTAACCCTCATTCATACCTGAGTTGGGGGTGCAGGGATGAGGGTCAGATCGTTTTTGGGTATCGAAACAAATTTGGCAGTGAAATCAAAAAGATTCAAATGACTGATTAGCATTCTTTGCAGCAAAGTTATCATTTGGATTTCACGTAGAGAAAATCCTAAGTAATATTTGCTTCGGTAAAAAAAAAAATTGATCCGAAAAAAATGCACCAACTGGGGCTTAGAACCTAGTACTCGATCTTGATACAGGTTGTTATCTCTGAGCCTGACAATTTGATTTTTATATATTTCTTAGTCATAACTGTAATGCTTACCCATAAGTCTATTTTTCTTATGTTCCCTTCATTTTGAATATGTAATATTAACTATAAAACTTCTTATACATTTTGTATGTTATGGTTGAATTCGAAATAGATACAATAAAAACCATATTATATGTTTTCCTTCGGTTCAAAATTTAGTGTAGAAGTGGGCATGACTGGCGTTGATTCCATTTTGAATAAAATTGGGTTTAATCAAACAAATCATACAATTCTTACTCAAAAAAAAAATTAAATTAAATTTGAAAATCAAAGCTTTTAACTGTAACAGTTTTTGAGCTAAACGAGTTTGCGCAGAAAGTTTTTTTTTCGGACTACTTCAAAACCTTACATGCTTTTATTGGTCATTTACCCCAGTATTAACTGGATAGTAACTCCTTAAGACTTTCATTAATAAATATTACGATATGTAATATGTGTATGATACAATGATCTAAAGTTAATATTTCTTGAGTTTTAAAATATTTTAAAAACCCGAATTATAACACTAATTCATTTAATATTATAAACATCTCTCAGTTTATCGTCATGCAATGTCTCTCGAAATCTTTGTTTTAAATATCTTTATTACATGTATTAAGTAGTTAAAAATTATTGTTGTAAAACTGCCCATCTTTAGTCAACCATAAAACAGCGTAGCCATTATTTTTATCCAGAAATATTCTAATCAATCTTCAAGCTGAGACTCAACTTAGAAGCTTAATTCAATTTTTTTTAGTCTAAAAGCTTGACCTAAAGACACAAAAGAGATGGTCAAAGTCATGTAATTTAATAACAACTCTAATCAAATATGATAATTTAAATATAGATTTTAATTAAGACAATATATGAAAAATAAATATGATATAAATTATTATTAAGTTCAAAAAAAGTTCTTTTCATTCCAAACATGATGAGAATGCTTCCGGTAGAATCAGAGTTGAAAAAAAAATTAAAGCATTTCCGGAAAAAAAACAGAATGACGCTAACATGCACAGAAAACAATAGGTATTCAAAATTCAATTAGATAGATATACTACATAAATTAAGTTTGTTTTTTTTTATTAGAAATAATTGAAAGATGTTTTGCTTTACTTCTTTTATTAGTATGCACATTAGTTATATATTATCATTACAGAAATGTTAGTTATTTATTACAGTTTGATTGACAGGTGCGGTGAGACGTCATTAGACTCTACTACAATCTGAGGAGACTCAGAAAGGATCTTTTTTTACAATATACCAATTTTTTTTTCTAGCAAACATTTTCAAAATGACATTTTTTTAGCCCGTTCATAACGCTACTGCACAAGTTTCTAGTAATTGCTGGCTCACCCCATTTAGTAACTTAAGTTTATTTTTTTATATATATCATTGTGATACTATTTTAAGGTTCCTATCAATCAATCATTCTTTATTTTAAAAATTTTCTGTCAAACAAACACATTTCAAGTATATACTTAAAAAAAATGATTTTAATTTTAATGGGATATATGTATAATTTGTTTCTATTTATAAGGTCATGTCCAAAACATCTAAAATAAAAACAAAATTTAAAAACTTTATCGAAAAAAAAATGCGAAAATAGCCTATATTTGGCCACAAAATTATTTTGAAAATTGAGGTATTTTTATTTTGACAAATTCTCAAAAATATAAAATAAACTAATTTATTACTTTTATATCTTATTTTTTTGAAAAAAATACATTTTTTATTGAGAAGGTTTTGTTTTGACAATTTGTGTCTGTGACCCTAATAGAATAATAAAATAACTTAAAAATCATTTTATACTATAATTTTTTTATATTGCTCTTTTATAATAATAAAAATAATATTTTTAAATAAAATATATATGTACATACCAGCTAAATCGTTGTGTATATTTCCTGAATAACAATTACTTTTTTTAAAGATGATTCTTCTCATTCTACTAGAAAGAATACCTAAGCACAAATTTTTTTTTTATGACTCTAATAGAATAATAAAATAACCTAAAAATCATTTTATACTATAATTTTTTTATATTTCTCTTTTATAATAATAAAAATAATATTTTTAAATAAAATATATATGTAACATACCAGCTAAATCGTTGTGTATATTTCCTGAATAACAATTAATTTTTTTAAAGATGATTCTTCTCATTCTACTAGAAAGAATACCTAAGCACAAATTTTTTTTTTAAATAAAAAAAAATATAATAAGCTTTATTTGGGCCAAATATTTTTGTGACATTATCCAAATGTAATTTAAGTTTCCATCATATATATAATCTGAGGATCGGTGTAAGACATGTAGGAATATGTTGGATTTCAGCGTTTCCGGCTGCTGGCGATAGCTAGTCTTTAGGATATTAGCGCTCGATAGTATAACCCCCCCCCCCCACAATCTCTAATTAGTAGCATAAGTCGCGTGAAAACCCGCCAAAATTCCAGCGTTAGCACATAAAGGATTAAACCGCACAGCTTTCCACGATGTAGAATGCGGTTAAACAAGAGCAATTTTATTCTAAGAATGCCAATCATAATGATACCAAGAAACAAAAAGTGATTGATTAAGTTTAACGAAAAATGACATTTGACAAGTTACTTTTTTAGTCGCAAAGTAATTTATATTACACATATATATATATTTTTATGGATGGCCTCTAATATTAAAATAATGTACATAACACATGTTTATTTTTCTTCCTTCCATTAAATAGTTCTACAACCATTTTTATGCAATCGTATACAAATAAAATATAATTAATATAATAATTAAAAACTACTATCAGATTTTTATATTTTTAGATAAACATAATATTTTTTTTCTTTTACATTAATAAAAAAATATGTGTAAAATTAAAATTCAAAAAATTTAAAAAATTTATTTACATAATATATTAAATACGTGTTATAATAAATAAAATCTAAAATTTTTCATTTCTTCATTTCATCCAAAATAAGAGAATGGTAAATATCCTATTTCTGTTCAAAATTTTAAAATTTTCATTAATAATTCATGCCTTGACCGATTTAACTGGCGATAACTCATGGACTGTTCAGGCGGCCAAAGCTGAAGGTCAATGCGGCGCGGAAACGTGGAATAAAAACTACCCGCAATGCATTAACGTACCTTACACTCGACCGCTTCCTAAGACTGAAAAATATGTCGATAATTTGGGTATAGTAGAAGCGGTACCGTATTCCATGCAGTCACCGATAGATATAAGAACGAGCGAGACCATCAAAGTCGATTACAAGAATCATTCCCTCTACTTCCGGAATTATAAGTTGGAGACGGGCCAATGGAGGATCAAGAGAAAGAGTTACGGTTTCAATTTGAGGGTAGACGGTGTATTGCCTTTCCTTGAGTTAGTGCCGGGGGATGGGAAAATCGCGCCTTACGAATTCGTGGATGCTCACTTCCATTGGGGAGTAGGCGGGGGTAGTCTGGTAGGGTCCGAGCATTCGATTGATGGCAAATTTTACCCGCTAGAAGTCCACTTGGTGCATAGGAGTCGCAACGCGGATAAAGAAAATTACGCCGTGGTGGCCGTGTTCTACGAATTAATCGACGAAAAGAAAGAGCCGAACGGACGCGCGGCGGAGCCAAAGCATTTGCACGTCATAACTGACGCTTTGGAATCGAGGGATAACGAGTTGAAGTCGAAATTCCTCATAAATTCTACCTTCAGTCTCAACTTACTACTCCCCGAAATCACGTGGGAGAGTCTTGCTAACACTCCTTTTTACAAATACCTGGGATCTCTCACGAATCCCCCTTGCAACGAAACCGTGACTTGGTTAATTTTGAAGGAGCCTGCCAAGCTGTCTCTCAGGCAGCTTTCGGCGCTAGAAAATCTAAAGCTGTGCGACGGAATCGACCATGACACGTGCTATCCGGATAAATACGTGGGGCCTAATAGAAGGCCCACCCAATCGACCAACAAAAGACCCATATTTTTCGTCTCGGCCAAAGGGGAAGCGTCTTCTGTTATATTAAACCTTTATAAATGGCAAATATTATCGGCAACAAGTTTAGTAGGGATTCTCATTCGTAGAATATAGTTGTTGTTTTTTTAATAAAAAATAATAATTCAGATCCTCGGGGGAAACAATGAAGAACGCATCAAAGTATAAAATCCCAACACCTGTTTTCTTCATCCATTTTTTTTTTATTATAGTTCGAACTTTTATAACCGTGCCTAATTTTTATTTTGTTATTTCTATCATAATATGCTACCATTTTGGTTTTATATAATTAAAGATATAGAGCAAATTAATAATTCGGATTATCATGCTACTTATTTTTGAAATATAAGAGTATTCTATCTACTTGTCAATTTCAAGAATGTATTTAACGTAATATTTTTTTTTTTTAAATTATGTTTTTTTGGGTGGAGTTATAAAACAAACGGAAATTAAATATTATTTAATCGTCACATAAATCTCAAATATAAATCAATCATAATTTTGGTGTAAATTTTTTTTATCATCGCTTGTCAATCATTTTACAACTCAAGTCGATTCATTAAATCCTGTTTGTTTTTAAAAAAATAAAAAACAAATTTAAGCCTTGTTTTTTTTTGTTTTGTTTTAAGTTCGTAAAAAAAAAGGATTCTTTTATAATCCCTTAAAAAGAAAGGATTTGCAATAGGCGAGTTAATTTTAAACAGCTGACGGGCGTTTTTTTAGCGGGTAAAGAGAATTCAAATGAGCGGGCGACTAAGGAAAAAAATACCGTGTATTATAAATTCCTCAGAACATATTTTTAAAAATTAAATACTAACATCATCATTTATTCAAAATTTAAGAAGAAAACATTTTTACCAGTATTTTGTATTTCCAATGACATATATAATACCTAGACTGACGATTCATTCATTAAAAGTGTATACATGAAATGCAAATCAGCTGGAGACGCCATCTTGGTTACACTGATCATCATTAAAATTTTAAAAGAGAGCCTAATATATTCCTAATATCTGATGCGAACTTTATTAAAGAATTACCGGATCATCGAGATAGTAAGGAAGCGAGTTATCAATTTAATGGCAGTTTTTAACATGAAAATAATTACTATATGTGTTACCAAAATGGCGGCTCCAGCTGATTTGCTTTTTAACGACGCTTTCGAATGCATCATAATGAATGAATAGTCAGAATTACTGACCCCCTTGCACCTTCTAATAATATACATGACCCCCTACTTTAGGGCTGAGTCATGAAAATTTTCTAAAATATTTTTTACCCGATGGGTGATACCCGCTTCGCCTTCCGCCTATCGTAGGCTACATCATCCTGGCTCATATGGGGGCAAACCAAACGCACAATCTCTCCTTTTTTTTATCGCGATCACCCTAATTTCAATTATTTAACGTTTTAAAAAAAAATTCTTGCCCCGAATTATTCATTTATAATTTCTTCCATTTTTTTCCGTTCGTAATTTTATTTTATTTTATATTTGTTCTCTTTGTTAAATATTGTTTCTATTTTAATATAAATAAATTTATATGTAAATTTTTAATTATAAATTATAATAAATAATAAAAATGATTTTCTTTACCAATTTGGTGGAAGATGGCTTGAGCACACTTAAGCACCCCATTTTAAACAAACGCGTTCGTATTTTATTTAGAAGGACTCTCTCTCTCTTAACGATATTTTAGTGGTTCATTTTTTAAACAAATATTTTTTTTTTTTTCCTTGTGGCATTAAAATTTTATTCTTTTCCTTTCTCTCGTAAGCCAAAAAAAAACAAAATAAGTGAGAAGAAAAAAAAAGAAGAAAATATAATCATATAAAATTCATTTAGGGGAATATTTTTTCTCTGGCGAAAATATTGAGTTAGCCGTTCTTACTTCAAATGAGTTATTTAGCATCACTACTTTAAAGGAAATTCTGTAAGGTCAAGCTAACCAATCACCGTTTAAGTTTTAAAAAGAATGTTTATAAACAAATTTCTTCTATATATACATATATAAAGTTGTGCTTTATTTTTCAATTACTTTTACTGTTCATTTTTTGGAATTAATCCCATTTAAATTATGGTAGAATCAAAAAGGATGAACTTGGCAAAAAAAATATTTGATAAGAAGCCCTAAGAGCTTTTCGATTGGTGGTTAGTTTAAGAATTTTTATTGGTCGTGAGGAATAAATTAAATTTGAGTTAGACATTATTTTTTTTATTAGCTAATACATGTATATTATAATTAAAGCTATAGACACCAAGACAAAGGCTGAGCAAAAAGTGAAAAAATAATTAGCACACCCCTTTTGTAAAAAAGGTAGCAACGCCCCAGCGGCGTCTATACCCGCCCATTGCGGACCTATGGCCCATCCTGCCCCGATGAAAAGGGAGTATGCTCATATCTGACTCGTTCAAAATCCCATTTTAACAATGATATCGATGCATCTTTTTAGGTCATTAGAAACTTCATTCAGTTAAATGATGAAATTATCATTTAAAATTATATTTTTTTTAAAAAAAGGAAGATTTACAAATAATTTGGAAAAAAACAACCAATAGCATCGCTAGGGAAGGAACGGAGAGGGGTAACAATACCCCTAAAAACTTTGGGCTAAAAAATTGCGAATTTTATTTTCTTAGATATGGATTATAACATATTATTTCTCTTTTTTTAGGGACTGTCGGTTTTCTTGAATATAAACATAATAAATCTTTCATATGGTAATAATAATATTTAAATCAAGACATTGATTGACACAAATCATATGCTGTACTCATTTAATCTAACTTCGCATCTAGCGTTGTCAACATTCATTGATAAACACTTCAATACTTAAAGTTAAAAATGTAGGTTTAGAAAAGAGGGTAATATATATATATTTTTTTTAAATATCCGGCAAAATTTCTCCGTAATATTCATTTTCATTCCGTCACGTGGCAAAATCGAAGAAATTCTTGATGATCCAGAACTTTCCCGTAAATCGGCGCTTCGATCGACGAATCACGGAGGCTCTCGAAATCGTTCTCAGGTAAGGAACGTTCGCTATTATTTGACGAAGGAGAAACGTCCAGGTAGCGGAAAAGATTGTTGGCGGACGCTATATATTTTTTTTTAAAAAACAAACAAAATAGTGCGGAAATATATATGTTTGGCGTCAACGCGTTATTTTTTCAACTTTAAATTCACTCTTCGAGCGCGTTTTTTTTAAGTTACCGGAAATGTATCACAGCATATTTGGAACACTTAATCCTATAGTGAACTAACAGCGTAGCCATGTTTTTATCCAGGAATATTCCAATCAATCTTCGAGTCGAGACTCAGCTTAGAGGGCTTCTTAATTCATTTTTTAGGCTAAAAGCTTGAACTTAAGCCATGATAGAGATGGTCAAAGTCGGGTAATTTAAACAACAATATCGTTAAACTTTGAGTCATTTTATAAATTTAAATGGAAAAATCTTCGGAAAAATTTGAATACAAATTAACAGAGCTGTTAAAAGATACTTTTTAAATGGATCTAGATACAGATACATCGTCTAAAATAATATTTAGATACCGATATCTTAATCAAAAATCTATCTAGATAGTCGATACCACGTTTTTATATCTAGATACAGGATCTAGATACTTGTATCTAGAAAATTACGTGAAATTCGTGGGTCAGGTATATTCCATTCCGAACCGGAAGGAATACGATTCCGGCAAAATAAGATTTTTTGTTTAAAAAAAAAATTTAAATCGACATTTGAATCTATTTTTGTTTGAAAAAAAAAAACAACAACAATGTTTAAAAATTTATTTTAAATTGCGTTTAAAATTTCCAAAAAAAAATAAATTATATTGTCGATTCTAGTATTCGTTAAATTACCTGACTATGACCATCTTCTATTGTGTCAGAGTTCAAACTTTTAAGAAGCTTCTAAGTTGAGCCTCAACCTAGAAGATTGATTAGAAATATTTTCTGGATAGAAATATGGCTACTCTGTTTTATAGTTGACTAAGGATAGGTTAGTTTAACAACACTAGAAGTATCCTTTTTTATATTTTTTTTTTAAAAAAAAGAAGGATAGGCAGAAAACGATTCCCCTAAAAAAAACAAAATCCCTAAATTAATAATTCTTAGAAAATAATCCTATCGATTTTCTAAAAAAAAATTTTTTTTAATATTTTATTTGAAGATTGAATATAATTTGATAGGGGAATTTTTTTTTCTTCTTCTCCTATTGGCTAATTAATTTTGTAATTTTTTCGAAATCTCAACAAAAACACGTGGGAATTTTTTCTTCTTCTCCTTCCTATTGGCTAATTAATTTTGTAATTTTTTCAAAATCTCAACAAAAACACGTGGGAATTTTTTTCTTCTTCTCCTTCCTATTGGCTAATTAATTTTGTAATTTTTTCAAAATCTCAACAAAAACACGTGGGAATTTTTTTTTCCTAGATTTCACTAAAAACTGTGGAAATGTAGCGTATTGATAATTTGACATATTCGTAGTCGAATTTCGATCGTGTTTCAATGTGCATTAAACTTAATGTTGTTAAACGGCTAATTTTGAGTCGAATAAAACGGCCAACTCAGTATTCTAGTCAGAAAAATATCGCCTAAGTCTAGAGATTTAGCTAAAGGATACCCAAACCTTAGTTTCTTCTACAGGCAAAATCCTTCAGGTTCGCGTAATAACGAGCCGTTTAGCAACACTGCATTAAACATAAGTTTGTTTTTTAAAAAAAAATAAATAATATTTGTGATTTTATCTTGGAAAATTGATTTATGCATGAAAATTAGGAAAAATAAAAAAAATTTTCAAATAAAATATTTTTTAAGCTATTTTCAAAACTCTTACAAGTAAATTTCGTACAAATTAAAGTAAAAATAGTTAGTTATATTTAAGGATTATTTTTCTCAAGGAGGAATAGAAATGGGCTACCAAGACCAAGGATGCCATCTTCGCCCGTGTCCCGACCCAGGGAAAATGATACCAGAATCTGTTTCCAGTGACATATCCGGGGACATGTCCGGAGCAGATGTCCGCTTAGGTGGAAGAACCATATAGCCCATGAAGCATCCTGGGAGAGGTCTCCTATACGATTTGTATCTACCACAGGCACCAGGCCGGTAGTTGAGGTGAGGGGGTGTGTATATAGGCCCGTTTCTCCGGACAGAAGAAGTGCAGGAAGATCGACCTTCATATTCATCCTACCTCAATGGAAGGGGAGACCGGCAGATGGCATATGACCAATATTACTGAAGTTGTTGGAGAGATTGAAGGAGCGACGTCGGTTGAGGAAAGCAGAAAGCAATTGGGAAAGGAGAACACCCACAGGATGGGAAAGGACTATGGAGCCGGCCATTAACAATGATAATAAATATGGAGAAAGCAATGCCGCCCCTATCCATAGAAGAAGATTTGGAAGAGACTAGCTAGACCTAGTATTTTCGGGTGGGGATCTCGAAGAGTCATCGTGAGAGCCCAGTGGGGGCTTTGAAATGGGCGAGACTGTGGCGGGAAAAAAAAGCGAAAATCGAAGATCTTATTCCATTTAAAATTATTAAAAAATTATTCAAATTATCTCGGACTTTAAATTGCGTGTCAACTAAGGGTTAAAATAATTACTAAAGTACTCTTAATTGAGGCGGCTGAATTTATAAAATAATGGAAATTTACTAAAGTCATTTTATATTATTAAAAGACCTAAGCGCTGATATTTTTACAGTAAGCACTGTTTTCCAGCGCTGCCCTATCTTTGCGACATTCTACGCTAGGCTCTGTCGAACGAAAGTGCTGCCGAAATTTTATTTTTTTACAAGATGGTTTAAATCTTTTGATTATAATTTTATTAAAAACAAAATTAATTACGATTAAAATGAATAATTTCTATAATATACGATCCGCAAGATGGCTTCTACTATTTTTTAAACTATATAACATAAAATAATTCCAAGTTTAGTTTTAGTTGTCAGATATTACTCGCTAAAACCCTCGATATAGGTTCCATAGTAATCAGCTGATGTCAGCTGATGTGCCATAATTCTATAATTTAAAAAATATCGCGTTGCCAAAAAAAAATAAAGTTTTTATTATTTAATAAATACTGAAATTTTTGTTATGACAAAAAGGATAAAAATTTTTAACCTTTTTTAAAAAAAAAGGATACGTGCTATGTTACCATTCATTTTTCTTCGGGTCCGCTAAATAATTTGATAACGAATTAATTGGATAAAAAAATTATTCGATAGCAAAGTTAGACCAAAATTTTTCTTTTAGGTTGTTTAGGTATTTAAATTTTAAAAACATGCAATAAGCGTTAAAATTTAACCATAAAAAACAAAAATCGGGAATTTTAACCTTTGTATTGTGTATAAATCAATTTATATTTCTTATAGATAATAAATGGATTTAAAGAAAGAAAGAAAGAAAGAAAGAAAGAAAGAAAGAAAGAAAGAAAGAAAGAAAGAAAGAAAGAAAGAAAGAAAGAAAGAAAGAAAAATTTTAAAATCCGATAAAACCGTAAATGTATTCTAGCACGTGTAGAGTGTACTCACCCCGTAAATTTCAAGCCAATTTTTGCCATGAACGTTTTAGAAACTACTTCTAATTTATATTAAATTTTTTCTGGATTTTTTCATTATAAATTTTTTAAAAAAAAAATACTAAAAATGTCTATGGCTGAAATTGGCTGAACACAGAATACATTTCTGGTTAGATCGGATTTTAGATTCCGAATCCCCATATGACATAAATATATATATATGTCATATGCTTACTTTTAATTTTCTTGGACAAAATAAACGACAAATTTCTGATATAATTTCTTACGTTTTATCGATTTTTCGAATCAAAATCTATGAATTTCTGGTAAGAGCGCGATAATAGCGAAAAGAAAGGAAACATCGAAAAAATTGGGGAATCTGGCTCATATCTCATAGAAAAAAAAAATTCTGAAGTAAATTTTGGCATCGATATTGATAGGTGCCAGGGAAGTGAGTACATCTATTTAAATTAAAGTTTATTTTCAGAGAATCTCCTAAAAATGGACGAAATATTCTCCATATTCCCAATTTGGGAATCAAAATTTCTAGTAAACATCGAATAAATAGGATTTTATGGAATGCACATGGAAACATATATCTCAGAATTATAGATATTAAAAGTGTATTCACTAATTCTATGACTCTCACAAGTAATGAATGAAAATAACAGCTGTTCTGAGATTTATAGCAAAATAAGTTCTCATCTCATATTTTTTTTTATTATAGTTTAAACTTATAGGGGAAGAAAATGGGAAGAATTGATAAAAAATAATCTAAGTTATATGACATAGAAAATAACGTATAGTGTAGCAGTAAGTTGGTAAACAAATAAGTTGATGGAATGAAAAATAAGGAGATATTGTTAAACAAGATATTATTCCACTAAGAAAGTGTTATTTTAATAGTTGGCAAAGCCATATATTTATATTTTAAAAAAAAACTAAAATGAGGAATATTTCCAGAGAAAATAGATTATCTTCCTGCCCAATTTCCAGGGAACTCACCCTATGCTGACACCAATATTTATAACTATTTATTTTTCTCTGAAATAAATCATTTTTGCTTTTATTACTCATTATAAATATTTACATTGGTAAATAAATATGCCACATAAAAGTAATACTAAACATTTCATAAAAAATATAGTGGAGGTTTTAAAATATTTGACATAATATTTTTGTACTTGTTGTGAATATGGGGGAATAACTCGGTGGCGGTTTTAAGAAGTTACCTAAACCATCTTTCATGTGGCTTCTATCCGAAGCAAAGTGGTCCAAATAAACTTTGCCGGGAATGATCCGATACTGTTAGATATAAAATAATAAAGTATCTTTAAAAAGGGTTTTGTTAAATAAGATGTAAATACTGCCGTAGTCGTAATTAACGACAGGTAAACTGAGAGAGCCTATATGTCCTAATAGTATTTGTAAATTTTTACGATATTTTTTTTATTATATCTGTCAAATCAATAATAATGCTTACTGTTGATTGGTCGGAGAAAAAATAATTTTTTTTTAAATAATATATTTGTTGGGCATACAAATATAAAAGTAAATAATACGGAATACTTATCCAATATATACAAATAGTTTACATGTACAACTTAAAAATATATTTATATTAAAATATTTAATTTCGCAAATAATAAATATATATAATTACAATAAAATATAAGTAATTTTTACATAACGGAATTTAAGAAAAATATTTAATTTAACAATTCTAGAAATTTTAAGAAATTTAACAACCAACGACTTCATAATACAAAGTATAATAATGGAAATATAATTGATGCAAATGATAATACGAGGAAGAAGGGGGGGGAGGGTAATTTTAAATGATTTAGGTGAGAAGAAGAAAATCTAGATTAATCGGGCTCCTCGGGGAATGAACCTATGAAGCATGTGAAATTAGATTTTATAATCTGAATTCCTATGCGTTGACGTAAGTAGACGCCTTCTTTTGGGTCTCCTGATTTTGTTCTTAAGGCTCTGCCAATCTTTTTAATTAGGCTAAGAGCCTGACTTCCAAGAGATGTTAAGGTTGTCGTGACAACTGGTACGAATTTATACTCATCTGGAATATCCACATATTTATTTGTTTTAAAATCTTCGGTGTATTTTAAAATGTCTTTATTGATGTTGGAGGGTGAGAGGGGGTCAACGCAGGAGAAATCCCACGCTAGAAATCGGCCATTCTCCCAAGGAATTTGTGTAATTCCATCGGGTCGTCTCCCATCCGTAAAGAGACCTGAGGGTTCTAAAGTGGCAGGAAAGCCTGCTGACTGTAAAGCTCGTTTTATGAGAGCATTACACCTGTTATGCCGGATTGAGCGTCCACTGCTAAAAATGCATTGGAGGCAATGACGACCAGTTTGGCTAACTGGCCTTTTGCACTTGGCGCACTTATATGAAACTGAGGTTGTTACATTTAATCGAATGGCTACAGCAAAACTGAATTCTTGATTTGAAAGTTCGAGATCAAGATTTTTAGAGGGGATGGCATCCAAGTATTCATGTCCTGAACCTTGGTTGAGGGAAGCTAATAGGGCATGATCTTCAGATTGCAGTGTCGAAAAGAGGTAATCAACGGACCTTGCAATCATCGGATTATCCCAATCCTTTTGTTTATGGGAGGGTGGTGGTAGACATTCATCTCCAACTGAGGCTTTCCAAATGACATAAGCTTCGTCAAGCAGTGCATCTGGCCAGGTCAGGTGATCAGTTATTATTTTGGAGCTTGTCAATCTGGACGAGATGAAACCACTAATTGATAAGGCTATGTGTGATCATAACCCTAAGCCTCCTTTATTGCAGGGGAGAGTGGCTTGATGCCACGAATTGGAGTTAAATTTGAGGTTAGTTATTTTTTCCATGATGTTTTTAATTATGGATTCATATGCTCTTAAGGGTTTGGGATGTTTAAAAACAGCAGTAGACCGTAGAGCATATGGGATCTTTGGTATATTGAAGAAATTTTTTATTAAGAAGAAAGATTTATGCGTGGGAAGTTGCATAAGTAGACCCTCCATATTGTTCAAATTATTCGAAGTAGCCTGGAAAAAGGCTTCAACTGCTAAGCAACCCCAAACTGGTGAACCAAGATGCGTTAGTTCTTCGGCCATAACCTCTTTAAAGGCGTGACAGTTGGGAGATTGAGAGGTGAGCTGACAGAATTCTGTTTTGTCGACGTTTAAGAGAAGGCCTATGTCTGGCCCATCCTTTTGCAAAATTTCTAGGGCTTTGTCTATCTCTTCTGGGCTTCCGCTTATTATACCGTCATCTATGTACCAGATATGAAGATCTAACAGGCAACTGCTTTTAATTTTTTTAACTAGATTGTCTATTCCTAGGCAAAATAATATCGACCCTAGGGGATCACCCTGTTGAATTCCTTCTGTAGAAAAAAGCCTACCATATTGTAAGATGGATGGATTCGCATAGCAGCTTAAAATGTAGCTGGAGTTGCATGGGAAGCTATTGCGATTAAATGTAACAACCTCAGTTTCATATAAGTGCGCCAAGTGCAAAAGGCCAGTTAGCCAAACTGGTCGTCATTGCCTCCAATGCATTTTTAGCAGTGGACGCTCAATCCGGCATAACAGGTGTAATGCTCTCATAAAACGAGCTTTACAGTCAGCAGGCTTTCCTGCCACTTTAGAACCCTCAGGTCTCTTTACGGATGGGAGACGACCCGATGGAATTACACAAATTCCTTGGGAGAATGGCCAATTTCTAGCGTGGGATTTCTCCTGCGTTGACCCCCTCTCACCCTCCAACATCAATAAAGACATTTTAAAATACACCGAAGATTTTAAAACAAATAAATATGTGGATATTCCAGATGAGTATAAATTCGTACCAGTTGTCACGACAACCTTAACATCTATCGGAAGTCAGGCTTTTAGCTGAATTAAAAAGATTGGCAGAACCTTAAGAACAAAATCAGGAGACCCAAAAGAAGGCGTGGTTAAAAAGATGTCAATGCTGTTTTATTAGTTGACTAAAGTTAGGTAGGTCGTTTTTAACAACACTAATTGTAATATTTTAAATCTATCCATTTTTATTAGAATATTAAAAATTGATGGTTTATTATTCTTGTATTTATTAATTTTTTTAGTCTATAAAATTATATTTATTTATTATTATGATTATGCAATGTATCTTTATTCATATAGATATTCTACGCTGTGTATTGCCTATATGATATATTTAAATTTTAATTCTTTCCACACACTTTTGAATCTATCCAATGACATTATATAATACCTAATAGATTGACGATTCATTATTAAAAGTGTACATCGATGCAAATCAGCTGGAGACGCCTTCTTGGTTACACTAATCATCGTTAAAATTTTCCTATATAAGGATGCAAACTTTATTAAAGAATTACCTGATCATCGAGATAATAAGGAAGCAAGTTATCAATTTAATAGTAGTTTTTAAACACGAGAATAATTATTATATGTGTTACCAAGATGGCGGCTCCGGCTGATTTGCTTTTAACGAAGCCTAGAAATGCATTTTAATAATCTAGTGTCATTCATTGGATAGATTCAAAAGTGTGTTGAAAGAATTAAAATTTAAATATATTATATAGGCAATTAGATTATTTTGAGATTTCTTTTAGTGAGAACCAAAACAATAAGGATATCTTAAGAGTAAGTTATACAGGTTTCATCTTTTATTTTTTTTGTTAATTATTGTCGTGCGTGATTATGTAGATAGTTAGAAAATATTATTTTATTTATGCAAATATTTCTTGTTATTGAGAGTTCGTTTAATTATATTATAATACTTATCGATGTATTCAAATTTTTCTTATCATAAGTTATGTTTAATTATATTATAATATTTGTCGATATATTCAAATTTTAGTTTGTCTAATTTTCACGTTTAACGGTAGATAGATTATATTTATGATAAACAGAAAAAAGCAAATTGAAAATAGATTTGAATATTTAGTTTTTTTTTTAATTTTATTTGTCTAAATATATTTTTGAAAAGCGATAACTAAAAATAATTTAATTTTTGAGTATAAAAACTCTAATTTTTTTACCATTCGCTATCATTAAATTTTTTATATTATATTTATCCTAATTTATTTAAATATATTTTATTTTTTCTTATTATTTAGATGAGTTAATTAACATCGATAATAAATTAATCAACTTTCTATACACAACTTCAACTCAAGCTTACACTCAATCAGTGGCGTAGCTACGGGGAGGGGGGGGTTTCGGGTTTGGACCCCCCCCCCAGAGCAATTAATTTTTTTTTTAGAATATTCGTTTAAAAGACTCAAAAGTGACTTTATATCAAATAAATACCATGAATATTTATATTTTTCTGGTTTTGATGTTTGTGGAAGGATATTATTACTTTTAATTTTAAATATATATATAAATTATTCTGTATATTATTTTAAAGTCATTGATAATAATCTAATAAAATATAATAATATATTATTTGTGCATTTTTAAAAAAATATTTATTATAAATTATCCAAGATATGGTTCGATAATAATAATATCAAATAAAAAAGTGCATAATCTACCCCCCCCCTCAGAGCAATTTTTTTAGATTATTCGTTCAAAAGACTCAAAAGTGACTTTATATCAAATAAATACCATGAATATTTATATTTTTCTGGTTTTGATGTTTGTGGAAGGATATTATTACTTTTATATATATATAAATTATTCTGTATATTATTTTAAAGTCATTGATAATAATCTAATAAATTATAATAATATATTATTTATGCATATTTAAAAAAATATTTATTATAAATTATCCAAGATATGGTTCGAAAATAATAATATGAAATAAAAAAGTGCATAATCTACCCCCCCCCCCTCAGAGCAATTTTTTTAGATTATTCGTTCAAAAGACTCAAAAGTGACTTTATATCAAATAAATACCATGAATATTTATATTTTTCTGGTTTTGATGTTTGTGGAAGGATATTATTACTTTTATATATATATAAATTATTCTGTATATTATTTTAAAGTCATTGATAATAATCTAATAAAATATAATAATATATTATTTATGCATATTTAAAAAAATATTTATTATAATTTATCGAAGATATGGTTCGAAAATAATAATATGAAAATAGTGCATAATCTACTTTCTCTGCTTTTATTTCTAATAATATATATTTGGTTTATATTTTGTAGCATTTTTATAAATGAAATTATTAAAGAGATTAAATTTATGACTAAAAAGTAAAGATTGTTATTTCCTATTTACGAACTTTAAGATTGAAGGAAATGGACATTAGAAAATATTTACTAAGTAACAAAAAAAATTTACCAGCTAATATCTCATGCAATTTATGCCCTGTTGAAAATGATAAGCATGATATAAATACACGAGGTTAAAAAATATTTAATCCAGTGTACTAATTAATATCTTATGCATTATAGGCTCTATTGAAAATAATAAGGATGATGTAAATACACCAGGTCAAAATAACATTTAATATAAAAGATATTTAAAATTAATAGCTAACTATTTTTATTTTAGAATTTAAAATTAAACACCTAGCTCAATCATTATATTGAAAAATAAAAACACCCCTTAATAAAAAAATTTTAAAAAATCATAAATAAATTTACGTTAGATGGCGTAAGAGATTTAAAATATAGTTTTACATAAAAAAAAATTAAAAAGTAAAACGAATTATAGGGAGGATAACTAATAATAAATTTAAAGTTTCCATCATTATTTTTGCTGTTATGATGTCCATTCTCAAATTTAGTCATTTTTTTTTTATTTATTTAGTTTTTTTTTGGGTTTTAAAAAATATATCTTCTATTTTTTTCGACTTCATTTTGTGTAAACTAAGATGAGGCATTTATAAATTCGTCTTCTAACAGGCATCGAAATAATAATAAAATAAAAAAAATTTATGATATATATAAATTCAAAATTTTAAAAATAATAATAATAAAACGATAATTGAAAGAGAGTTGTTTCGGCAAATTGTATAAATATTTTACTTAATGTTTTAAATAAAGTGAATTTTCCCAACTCTTGCATCTTTATACAACGAACGCAGCTTTAAAACTACCATTCATGTCTTGTTGCCCCCCCCTTCCCCCACAGGTGTTATGAAAAGTTATAAAAAGTTAGACACGATGTTAAAGTATCTTTGAAGACTGATATTAACATCATGTGGACTTGCATGATATGCCCAGAAAATTTAGCTGCCTTTTCCCCAAATCATATTTGCTATGTGGAAAAGAAGACATCATACAAATTTGTATGTATATAGATTTAGAAAGTCCAGTAAAATCTCAATCTATAAAACTATCTCCTTCAAGAACATCTTTAACACTTTAACATTCTCCGACAAAATACTAGAGGGGGAAGGTGCTTTAGAAAATGAAAATAGAAAGAAAGAAGAGAAGAGAAGAGAAGAGAAGAGAAGAGAAGAGAAGAGAAGAGAAGAGAAGAGAAGAGAAGAGAAGAGAAGAGAAGAGAAGAGGATGGAGATTTTTTTTAATTTTTGAGTTTATAAATATGATCTGAAGGTGATGTATGTGAAAGTGTTAAAGAATGATTTGTTCTAGGAGGAGATATTTTATAGATTGAAGATTTAACTGAACCTTCCAAATCTATGTATACAAATGTGGATGATGATATCTTCTTGCAAGTCAGCATGATATTAATATCGGTGTTCAGATTCATCGTGTCCTTTTATAACTTTGGTGTATTGGCTATATTCTAAACACACGAGGGGGGAGGGGTAATAAGACATGTTTAAAGCTGTGCTCGTTGCATAAAGATGCATGGGAAAATCCATTTATATTTAAAACATCGCGTAATATTTTTTATATAATTTACCAAAACAATTCGCTCTTCAATTATCGTTTTATTATTATTATTTTAAAATTTTGAATTTATATATCATAAAATTTTTTATTTTATTATTATTTCAATGCCTGTTAGAAGACGAATTCATAAATGCTCATCTTAGTTTACACAAAATAAAGCCAAAAAAAATGATATATTTTTTACCTAAAATTATTGACAATAAATATTGACACTATCTACTCATTGTATCAGTAAGTGCTGTTAATCTTTATTTCCTATTTTTGTATTTTTTAACTCAATTTTATCAATTTCAAATTTCTGAGCTTCATAAATCACCTGTAGATGGCAACAAATATATATTGTACATTATTTGGTATTTGTTATCCGTCGATTAGTGTTGTCAAATGGTTCGATTTGAGCCGATTTTAAAAAAACGCTAACTCAATATTATAGCCAGGAAAATATTGCCTATGTGTCGAAATAATCCTATGTGCCATCTATGAGCAAAATCTCTAGGCTTGCATGATATTTTTCTGGAAAAGAAAATATATAGTTAGCCGTTTAACAACACTACAGTATATAAATGTTATTATCAGGTACCGGTTATCATCTAATTAAATTTATATCGGTGCATTAATAAGAAATATATTTACTACATAATTATCTATAATTTTTAGCATGGCAACTTATCTATTTTAAAAGGATTATTATGATTATCACATTTAACTAGCAAAAAATATCTTTTGAGTTTTTTCATGGTTAAGTTAAGGCATGACTAAAACACGCGCCCCTACATGACCCCTGTGAAAGAAGCTTAATTTAAATTATATTATTTTAGAATCGAATTTAGCTTCATAAGATGAGGCAGAAAATGTTGTTTTTTTCACTTTTTAAAAAAAATGATGACATAGTAAAATTTTTAAAAAATTATTCTTTTACATGACTAAAATACATGCCCCCATCAAAGAAGCTTAATAAAAAATGAAAGCAGAATCGTATTAAGCTCATTAAAAGGAATCAAAAAATGTCAATATTAAGTTAATAAATTATTTATAACTTATTGAGATTTGGAAAAAACTCTTAATTTATAATATTATAAAATCAGTCCATAAGGTTAATATGATGTTAATAGGAGGTCTATTTATTTTAATATTCTCATAATTTTTTAATGAGTTGTATTTTGATAAAATTGAAAAAAAATTGTTAAGATTTAACAAAAAACCCATCTTTTTTAAATACTTATAACATAAATAACGAGGTCTCGTATTGATTTATAGCTTGATTGGAAATAGTCAATGTAAATGAAATTCTGCATAAATAGTGTCATATTTACCAAAAAATTTCGATATTTCAAATTATTTATGTTAAAAAAATTAATATTATCATTTTATAAATCTCCTTAAAAAGTATGATTCTTTATTCTTTTTTAAAAAATAATATATATTTAATGGGGGCGCATAGTTTAGTCAAAAAAAGAAGAAATTAAGTGTTTTTTCCAAATCTCAATAAGTTATAAATAATTATAAACTTAATATTAACATTTTTTGATTCCTTTTAATGAGCTTAATATGATTATGCTTTAATTTTTTATGAATTTAGCTTCTTTGATAGGGGGCGAGTAGTTAAGTCAAAAAAATTTTGTTTTTTCAAAAGCCCACTAGGTTACAATAAGTTTTAAAATATTATATTATCATTTTTTATACCTTTTAATAAGCTCTATATGATTCTGCATTCATTTTTTATAAATGGCTTCTTTGATGGGGGGGGGGGGGGGTGCGTATTTTAGTCATGTAAAAAAAAAAATTTTTTTTAATTTTATTATGATATCATTTTTTTAAAATGAAAAAAACATTTTCTGTATCTTATGAAGCTAAATACGATTCTAAAATAATATAATTTAAATTAAAGTTCTTTCATAGGAAGAGGTGCATAGTTTTCTGGGGCATGTATTTTAGTCATGCCCTTAAGTTTCTTTTTTTTAAACTTAAATATTTATTAATTATAATATATCCAAATTACTTTTCGTTTGTATTTATCAGGGAAATTGTTTTCATTTTTCAAGGCTTTCTGAAAATATTCCTCCAAATTACACCCAAACTCTAAGGTTGTATCAAAATCGTATACTTTGCTTGAATTATCACTTTGATAATATAAGACTAGGTTTACTAGTATCACATGATAATCCTATATATTTAATTCAAATAAATTAAATAATAAAATTGTACCCAGATCACAATATCATTATTTTTGGCACATGTCATAGTCCATATTGGAACCTAAATTTTAAAAGGAAACAATTATTCAAATCACTATATATTAATTTAAAACCTGTTTTAAGTTATTTGTAATAAATACAACATAGTATGAGATGTCATTATCTTTATTACATAGTGTAGATGTAAAAATTCCTTTGCATAATTGCCATATATTTTCCTCACTATCTATTATTATAATAGAATGTTATATTTGCATACTCACCAATAATATGGTGTATAAATAAAGGATCTATGATCAAGTTTAAAACTCATACAAATTTCTAGGACAGATGCATACACTTAAATCTAAAAAGAGTACTGAAACTATAGTAAGCCTGATGTGCATTGAAAATCTTAACATGCTGTTTATGTCAATCATCGTCAAAAAAATATTTCATTGATGTGCTTAAATATTTTTAAAATCGTTTGTATAAATTATCTCTTTAATGTATTTAATAAATTGATTTTTACATTAGCTTAAAGCTACAATTTATTACAATTTATAAAAATAGAAAAACATATTTTTTATTATATGAGATAAATCACTTTATATTATTGTTCTCAATACATTTCATTTGGCGACGATTTATTTTCAAATTTTTGACGACGACAAATTATTTTAAATAAAAACATTAAAATTATACTATGCCTAACGAAGACTCTGTAATAGAAACAATTAGCCTCAAAGGCAATTAAATACATGATGAATTTTAAATATATATATTATTAATTGTGTACGACGATTAATTGTTTGTTTTGTAAAATATATATATACTGCTGTACAAAAGATAAAAAGATGTTAAAATTATAATAAAATTTGGTTTCATCACAGACTCAAAGAAGATATTTCTGAAGAAAAACAAAGAAACATCAACACCTACTCAATTTCACAGAATTCGTAAAAGATAAAGTTAATATTCAGAATTACCTATATAATATAGAACTCATTTTCAAGGTAAAAAAATTTTCCACCAAAATAAAAAAAAAGATTTATTATTGGCCTAATAGGCACTGAAAATTTAATTTAAATTTTTTTATTTTCCAAATAATTTAGATAATATAAATTATTTAACGTTACTCGAGAATTTAGAAATAATTTTTAGATATCTCGAGTATTATTCTTCATAGAGACAATTTTTATACCTTAAAAAGAAATAACTAAACTATAATTGAATTTTCAATTAAATTAAAGCATTTGCGCTTTATGTAATTTTAAATCTTCGGTTGATGAACTCTTAAGAGATATTTTTATCTTAGGAGTAGGGTTACCTGAGCTGGACAAGGAACTTCGGTCAAAATATGCCGAAGGGAATATAACTTTTGAAGATACTGTGTGTCTAATCGCCTGACAGTAGTTAATAAAATAATTAAACATAAGCCTATGCAAGGTTCCAAAAATACTTATTTTAGGAATAATTATAACAACGTAAACAAATTCAATAACAATAATAATAATTATAATGCTAACAAATTCAATCAAAATTTTTATAAACCAAGTTTTAAAACTAATTTCACTCAAAAAAAGTAATATGTTTTAGGTGCAGAAAAGCAAACCACATGGCGATAGAACGTATACAAGTGATTTTACCACGGACACCTCGCCTGTCATTTGCTAATAAAGCTAAAATCGATGCGAAAATAAATGAACTGCAGCTTACTATGGAATTTGATACTGGCGCGGCGTGTAGTGTTATAGATGAGGTTACCTGGAGTCGCATTGGCAAACCACCATTATCACCCATATCAAAATCAAAATATTGGGTTAAATGTTTAGTGGAAGTCGAAGTAAAATAATATTTCAAAATTTTTACCTATTTGGGTAGTTAAGGGTGAGAATTCCCTTATTTTTGGAATGCCCTTTCTTAAAAAATTTGATATAAAACTTCCTGAAGTAGTTCGTATTGATAATATAAATATGATAGATTCCAGTTTAAATACTATTGTTTCAAAATTTCCGCAAATTTTTTAAAAAAAAATAGGAATTACAGGAAGCCGTCATCAAGATACAACCAAATACAATGCCAATTGCGTTGACATCTAGAAGAATTCCATTTCAGTTGCATCGAACCATTGAAGCTGAGTTGGACAGACTTTTAGATGAAGGCGTTATCGAGAAGGTGGATCCAACAAAGACTCCAATTACTTGGGTTGCGCTAACGGTTAATATTTTAAAGAAATCCGGTGCCGTGCGGATATGCGGTGATTTTTGTTTAACAATCAACAAATATTTAGCGATAGATAACGATTTACTATCAACTTTCGTCGACCTGTCAAATAGGATCGCGGGTGGTAAAATATTTTCAACGATAGATTTAAGAGATGCATTTTTACAATTCGGAGTTAGTCCAGAATGTAGAGGCCTTTTAGTAATTTAGACTCATGTCGGTTATTATCGATATCAAAGAATTCCTTTTGGGTTGACTAGCGCTCTGATAATATTTCAACGCTTTATGCAAACCTATTAAAAAGGAATTCCTATAATGAGTGTATATTTAGACGATGTAATTATTGCAGGCGAGAATAATTTTGATCATATAGTTAATTTAGAAGAAGTATTAAGAAGATTTGATAAGGCTGATTGACAATGACGACCTATATAAAATTGGAGAAAAGTCAGTTAGTTATTTAAGTCATGTTATTAATTAATTTGGAATTCATCCGACCGAAGATAAGATTAATGCTATAAAAAATTGTAAAACACCGTCTAATGTTATAGAATTATGTTCGTATTTGGGAATGGTAAATTATCAATTACGCCACTATTGATCGGGAGGCTTCGGCGATCATGTTCGCTATCGAGAAGTTTCATCAATATATTTATGGAAGACATTTTATTTTGTTTACACATCATAAACCTTTAAAATATATCTTAGGTGATAAAAGAGACCTAAATAAAATAACAAATAACCGTTTTACGGTGGGCGACGAAGCTTTTAAATTACGACTATGAGATAATTCATAGGCCGGGTAATCAAAACAGATGCGCCGACGCTCTATCCCATTTGGCGGTAGAGAGAGAAAAACTTAATGAAGTTAAAATAAATTGAAATTAGAGAAGTAAAGATCAATTTAATAGAAGATTTATCGTTCACTCGAGGTAAAGTTATAAGTAAAACCAATGATATAAATCTAAAAGAGATCATTAAATTAATAAAAAATCATTGGCATATTGATAATATGAATAATTATTTGGAAAGTTTAAAAAATTCATCTTAATTAAAGATAATATTTCTTTCGAAGAAGGGCTACTATTTTATAATGATAGAATCATCATTCCGATAACCTAAAAAAGAGGTATTGAATGTTATCCATCAAGGACATCCTGGGATATTGGGGATGAAATCCTTATGCAGATACTATGTCTTCTGGACAAATCTTGATCGAGATGTTGAAGAATTCGTCAAAAACTGTAAGAGTTGTCAGGAAGGAAGACCGGGAGCCAGAGAAGTACCATTATACAATTGAAATATTCCTACCCGACCTTGGGAATAGGCCTATAACGAATTAATTGTTATTTGATATTCGATTCGATTCGATTCGTATTTTACGAATACGAATAACACAAAGATTCAATGAGGAAAATTATTCGTATTATTCGAAATTATTTATATATAAATATTCGTAATTATTCGCAAATATTTTATTGCAAGTAAAATAAAAAGAAGCAATTATTTCCTAGTGGATATCATTTCGTTTTATTTTATTTCCTATTATCAAATATCAAATCTTAACAAGTTATATTTGCTGAAAAAGTTTAATGGAAGAAAAGGAAAAGCTTCAAAGTAAAATATAATTATTTTATTTTGATTGTTTCTCTTTAATCATTTTTGATGTTATGATTTATGAACAAGTCAAAACATTTTTATAAAGTGTACCTCTTTCTCATATTCTCGAGCTCCTGGCAGATAAATAACTAAATTTTTTTGATTATTTCTTATTATATGATTAGGAAAATCCTTTTCCCATTTAGTAAACTTATTTTTGGAAAATTTTAAAGACAATCTAATTCAGATAGTGCATTATAATATCTTCATCCTCTATTACATTGTCATAATCACCTCTAAAAATTATATTAATAATTAAATAAAGGAAATTTATGCTACTAAAGTATTTTTATATATTAAATAAAATCTATAATGAAATACTTTCTAAAATTTGTATATTTTATATTTTATATGCAAATATTTAAAATATAGATATTTTATAGATTATAATTTTAAAAATTTTATTTTGTCATAATCAACTCCACCTCTAACTAATAAAATGATATTAATAATAAAAATAAATACATGATTAAATAAAGGAAATTTAGGCTACTAAAGTATTTTTAATAAATAAAATATATAAAGAAATACTTTCTAAAATTTTGTTGTATTTTATATGCAAATATTTAAAATGTAGATATTTTAAATAGATTATAATTTTAAAAATTTTATTTTGTCATATGATTAAATAAAGGAAATTTATGCTACTAAAGTATTTTTAATAAATAAAATATATAATGAAATACTTTCTAAAATTTTGTTGTATTTTATATGCAAATATTTAAAATATATATATTTTAAATAGATTAAAATTTTAAAAATTTTATTTTGTCATAATCACCTTCACCTCTAATAAAATGATATTAATAATAAAAATAAATACATGATTAAATAAAGGAAATTTATGCTATTAAAGTATTTTTAATAAATAAAATCTATAATGAAATATTTTCTAAAATTTTGTTATATTTTATATGTAAATATTTAAAATAAATTTTAAAATCTAGATATTTTATATAGATTATAATTTTAAAAATTTTATTTTGTCATAATCACCTTCACCTCTAATAAAATGATATTAATAATAAAAATAAATACATTATTAAATAAAGGAAATTTATGCTACTAACGTATTTTTATATAATAAATAAAATATATAATGAAATACTCTCTAAAATTTGTTATATATTATGCAAATATTTAAAATAAATTTTAAAATGTAGATATTTTATATAGATTATTTTTAAATTTTTATTATATAAAAACTATTTAAAATATGTAATTTAACTATTACATAAAGTATAAATTTAAAAAAATATATAAATAATACACTGTACTTTGATTAAAATAGTATTTCTATAAATTTTAAGAATTAATACAAAAATTATATAAATTTTATAACTAAGAATTTATTCTACAAAAAAAATATTATTTAAAACTAATATTATCATATTGCTATTTTTGATTTGAATTTATAAAGAAAGGTCTAATTTTCTCTAAGGTTTTGCTAATTCATAATAGGAATAAAAATAGTAAATTAAAATAATTTTATTTTTTAAAAAACAACCCCCCCCCCCTTCATGCCTATGCCACTGTTTAATTAATTTACTGTTTTTTTCTTTCAATTTCTAATGTGTCATTAATCTGGAATTTCAGGAAGGATGGTAAACTTGGATTTTATATGATATAATGTTAAAATATATTCAAAGATCAATTAGAAAATCTTGATGGAAGAAGATGTGGTGAAGGACATAGTCAATTCTCAAAAAGTTCAAGATCTACATCAATCTCTGATCAAACTGAACCTTTTAATGCTATGCGGAAAAATTCTTTAATAAGGAATCATTATCTCCATGATGCTAAAAAAGAAACAGCTAAATGTAAAATATGCAATGTGGAGATAATGTGCAAGAAAAAAACTACGTTAACACTAATTAATCATAACAAAAGATTTCATCAAAATCAAAATAATACTATTAGAAACTATTTAAATGATATACCCAAAACAAATGCTGATGATGAGCATTATTTATTAAAATTTTTGCAAAAGTCAAATACCTTTTAAAATTCTCGCCACGTTTGAGCTTTAAATCATGAAATAAAAATATGCTCAATACCGTCAATTAAACTATATATGAATGAAATTTTTAATAAATAATTCAATAAAGTTAAAATAATTATAAATAATTTAAAATGCCAAATTAACTTTACAACTGATATATGGTCAAGTCCTACTAATGTACCATTTTTAGGATTGACCTGCCACTTTATTGATGAAAAATGGGAGATGAAATCATTGTTATTGGATATAGTTCCATTTACTGATTCGCATTCTGGTGAAAATATTTATAGAGAGTTTTCTCATGCGATAATGCTACTTTCATAAAAATTCTTCGTATGAAACACCCAAATTGTGAAATTTTACATGTACGATGTTTTGCACATGTACTCAATTTAGTAGTACAGGAAATACTTAAGAAAGTAGACAGGCAAGTATCAAAATTAAGAACAATCATAAAGATTATTCGCAATTCTTTTACAAAGACAAATAATATGCAAAATGTGTGCTCCTCCCTACTTCCCCCTATGAAATATTTAAAATTAGACACATCCATCAGATGGAATAGCTCTTATTTAATGGTCGAAAGAGCTATTAAAATGAGAAGGGCTATTGATGAAGTTGTGACCCAGATATATGATGATATATCTGATATCGAAGAAAGAAAACTGAGTGAAGTAATTTAATTTTATTTACTAATTATTATTTTTTATAAGGATGATTGGACTACTTTAATAAACATACAAAACAAATTAAAGACTTTTTTTGATTTTACCGAAGATATATGTGGTGACAGATATCCTACCCTAAATCTTGTCATCCCTTTCTATGTTTCTTTAATCGAACATTTAAATTCATTTGATCTCGATTTTATAAACTCTATCAGTGCGATTGAGAAAATAGAAACTTATTATAACTTAACAAATATTCACACTATAATATCAACAATACTGGATCCTAGACTAAAAATGGAATTTTTTGAGCAACTACCAACTACATATAACATAGACACGACAAATCTATTATAAAAATTTCAAGATGTATATAATGATTACAAAATAACTAATATCAAATCAACATCAGTTAACCCAATAGTACAGTGGAACATGGATAGAATTTTTAAACAAAATAACATCGCATCAGTATGTGAGGTGGAGACATATCTTAACGAAATAAGAATCAGTTCAAATAAGAGTCCCTTAGAATGGTGGAGATTGCATGGGGATCGTTTTCCTGTGTTGTCGAAAATGGCAACTGATATATTGTCAATGAATCCCGGAAAATAATTCCCCGGAAAAAAAAATCCCGGAAAATAAATCCCCGAAAATTAATTCCCCGGAAAATAAATCCCCGGAAATTAATTCCCCGGAAAAAAATCCCCAGGAAAATAATTCCTAGGAAATAAAATACCCGGAAAATAATTCCCAGGAAAAAAATTCCCCATAAAATAATTCCCAGGTAAATAATTCTCCGGAAAAAATTTCCCCACTATATATTGAATTGCTAATGCATTGCTAAAAAACTGCTTTGCTAAAAAGCAATCAATCATAATCAATTATAAATCAATCAAAAATTTATTACGTATATTTTTTTAATGATAATTTTTTAATGATAATTTTTTAAACTTTTTTTAAAATATATTTAAATCATTTTTTTATTATAAATGAAGTACTGATTAAATGGTATCGTCCCTCCAATTCGTATGAAGATTATGAATTAGGCGGTTTGTCGTATTGCCAAGATTCCCAAAAAAATCTCGAATATTCCCAAAATTGTATTTGAAGTAATTATGAAAATTAAAGAGGTTAAAGATATATCGCTATGTTATGTATTGCATAAACATGGAAAGAATGCTATATATACATGTAGAAGAAAATGTGGAGGAAGAGCTAAAATTTGTGGTACTGAATTTAGCATCACTGTAAAGCATTTAGAAACATGCAAGCCAATTCAAAGTAAAAGTTATAAATATTTTACCATATATTATCCAATTAATATTCCAATTTAGATGATTCTCTATATTGCATAACAATTTTTTAACAAAGTTATAAACCAAGAAGTCTTGGAGGAAATAGATGCCCATAACAGAAATACCATTGGTCCAAGTAAATAGTATCTTTTAGATATTTATATCATTTTTAAACAAAGCTATTATTCAAATTCTAATAATCAAATGGTTCAATATAGTTTGATTAAATCAAAATACAACAATAATATTATCTATTCTAACATAAATTTAATTCAATTTATACATTATCATGCAAAAAAAGAGATTGCATTTTTATATATTAATTAAAAATTTTATTAGAGATATTTGATAAAAATTTTAATAATGTTATACCAAAAATATATTTGTAATACAATTGTGCTGTCTATTATATATTAATGGATCTAGAGTATGAGTTTTCTAAACTATTGTAAATTATCTGCTATTTATTTTTTAATATATACTGTTCTTGTATTAATATAAATATTAATTACCATTTAGCCATTTAAATTTAATTTAAAATAAAAAGCATTTTTTAATTTATTCCTCAAAATTATTTATTAGTAAGAAATTTATTTTTCTAGCTTATTAAAACAAATATACATTTTATTCAATTTTAAAAATTAACAAATATATATCCGTAAGAGGGCGTTATATGTTTTAATATGTATCATTTTAGGAAACCGGCAATTGGATAGCACTTTTTTTATATTTGGGTATATATACATATGAAAAACCTAAAAATTAAAAAATTTTTTTTAGGTTTCTTTGATGTTTAATTTATGAGTAGGTTTAGAATAGTAAAACAATGGAAATTTTCTAAAGTAAATATTGCTGGCGTTATTTATCAAAATCTCTTCATTGTTTTATACGTGTATATTTACGTGCTAAGCATTATCCTAAAAAATATTTTGAAAATAATTTGGTTTGACCGATTGCCGAGTTCAAAACCGACCACTTATTAAATATTCGATTGATCAAATTTGCTATTAAGATAAATTGAAAAATGTTGATTTTTGTTTTATGTGTCTATAAATACGTATAAAACATAATTCCAAAAAATATTTTAAAAATATCGTGATTTGACCCGAAAACCGACCGAATGACCAAATACTGCATTGCTGGCGTTATCCATGGAAAAATCTTCATTTTTGTATTATACGCGTCGTATATATATACGTGCTAAGCATTATCCTTAAAAATATTTTGAAAATAATTTGATTTGACTGATTGCCGAGCTCAAAACCCCACTTACTAAATATTCTATTGATAAAATTTACTAGTAATATGATTCGAAAAATGTTCATTTTTTGTTTTATATACCTATAATTACGAGTAAAACATATACGAGTCGGTTATCCGCCAAACCACGATATTTTTAAAATATTTTTTGGGATTATGTTTTATATGTATTTATAGATATATAAAACAAAAATGAACAATTTTCAAATTATATTACTAATACTTCTTCTCTTCTCTTCTCTTCTCTTCTCTTCTCTTCTCTTCTCTTCTCTTCTCTTCTCTTCTCTTCTCTTCTCTTCTCTTCTCTTCTTTGAATCTAGGAAAATAATTCCCCTGAAAAAAAATCCCGTGACCCGGATCTGCTCTGCAGTATTTATTTAAATAGAAATGTTTTTTAAAGTCAAATTTCTTCGAGGATTTGAGATTCTAAATAATAAAACGAAAGTTAAATAAATCTAGTTCACCTTTACACACTTTCATCAACTTTTAGGTATTTATTGAAAAATTATTTTTACACAAATTTTAATCATTTTTTTAGAAATATGATAAAAGGCTTTTCACAGTTTACTGACTCTTAAATAGCGTCCCTTTTTGTTTTTACAAGGATAAGCTATTAAATAATATAATTTTATAAATTTTGTGGCGAAATAGGAAATTAGCAATTCAATCTGATACCCTTTATTTGATAAAAATTATTTTACTGAAGTATTTACCTACTTTAAGAATTTAACTGACTGAATACAGAATCACTATAAAACTTGCAAAATTATATTTTTTACGGCCCAATTTTAATTAAATACTGCCAAAAGTAATGAAAAATGCTGACCACTTTAATCAAAATACATCCAGAGGTGATTATCAGCAGTGAGTATTATATTTTTCTAATCTAACAATTATTATTTTGCTTATGAATTTTTTTCAAAAGTTACAGAAAAGAAATAATTATAATTTTATTAAATGATATATAGAATATCAAATTATATTATTCAAAAGAAACAATTCTAGAACGTATATGTTCTCCAATTGAAGAGAGAAAATTGGGCAAGTCCCTTCTCTCTTCTAAATAATCAATGCATAAATTTTTTTTAAATAGTTTGTTTCGTTGCATAAATACGATTTTTTTTGGGAGTATATGTCCCAATATTACATTGGCAGATTTTTCCCATATCAACCGCTATTTCCATCCTTATTTTTTCGAGTAGTTCCCATATCTTCGGTTTTTTGTTGCCTACAATATGCTTAAATCGGTTATTCCATCCTTCACATACATTGTTTGTTCGATTTTCCCCAGCAATCGTAACATTAAACACATTCCATGTTTCTGGTGGGAAAAATGGCTCTACTTGCCTTTGAGAGTTTTTCCCATGTCTCAATTCTCCATTCACATAATTTTTATCAAAATAAAACAATAATTCTTTGTTTTCATCCGATACAATGGTTTTTAAATACTCCATACCTCGTTTGACATCGTGTATAGGTAAGAATGCTAATCCATCGATCATAGCTGCAAATAAGCATAACATTCGATCATTCCGATATGATGATTCTAACCCCAATTCCTGAATCTTTCTATGAGTTGATTGAGTTAGATGATAAAAACATCCTTGGATGTTGATATCTCTACCTAAAAGTTGAAAAAATATAGATTAAAATTATTGTATAGGTTTTATTTAATATTTATGTCTTTATCAATTTTTATTAATTACACTGTGTGACAAGAAAAATGGGATAAAAAATAAATAAAAACAAGTTTTGGTGCAGAATTTGACATTGAGTTCGAATTCGTTTTCTAAGTTTTCCCTTCACGTCAAGTTTTAAAAATATTTTCGTATAAAGGCAACTTTTCGAAATCTCAAAAATGGTAAAATTTAGGTCTTTATACGGTATTTTAAAAAGTATCAAATGAAAATCCCTGAAAATTGGTGATAGTGTTAGACTTATATTTCCTTATAAATTTATTAATTTTTATAATTTTTTATCGATTGCTTTTTGAGAAAAATGGTAAAGAATTTCGTTTTGGGGGTCTTAAGTTTTCAATTTAAATTCCCGGCAAGAATCGTATAAATATGTTGGTGGACTACTGCTGGAGTATCTTTTTTGAAAATAAATCATCAACTTCATATTCGGGGAAATATATTTAGATTTACCATTAAATGTTTTTAAATTCGATAAATTTTATGTTATTGTTTAATTTGTTTTAAATTCAATAAATTTATTGTATATTACAAGTTAAATCCTATATAATAATGAAGGAGGGGGTGAGACAACGGACCGATAAAAGGTTTATTAAAAGTAAAATATGAGATAGGTTAGCTTAGCATAATATATTTATTTAAATATGAGAAATGTAACTATTTCATTTAAAATAAATTGTTTGGGATTCGTACCTTGTGCAGTGTAGCGAAGAGAACGAAAGCCACAATAAATATATTAAATGTAAGCTATATTAAAAAAGAATCTAGAAAAATAATTCCCCGGAAAAAAAATCTCCGTTTTTAAGATAATTAAAATTACAAAATTAATAAATTAGGAGAAAAAAATTCCCTATAAATAAATCAACGAAATAATAATTCTCAAATAAAATATTTAAAAATTTTGATAAAATTAATTCTGAAGAATTATTTTCTAAGAATTTACTGTCTTAAAACATGTTTATTTTATTTTCTCCCAAAAAATCAAGTCAAAATTTGTCACACAGTGTTACTAGAAATGGGTTCGCTCATCCTACACTCATAAAAAAATCGTTTAAAATATTACTAAAAACAACAGAAAAAGAAAATTAGGATTAAAAAAAATTTCAAGTCCCACGGTCCAAAATACATTTCAAAATCAAGGTCCTAGCATATCTCGATAGTTTATAGATGTAATTAAATCGTAAAAAGAAACCTAGAGTATTTTCGACGGCATTGATTGCAGCCTTTTCAAAATCCATATAAATAATTCCGTTCTTGGGCTTTTTCGAGTAAAATCTTAAAACTTCATATGTTGTATACGTTTTTTTCTTTGTAACAAGAAATATGCCGCTGTTATAAACAGTGTTTTAAAGGGTATTCTAATTACATATAGCTGCAAAAATAAATGAGGAGCCAATTTAAAATTCCCGTCTATATACCAAGTTTTCGTTTCGGCTAGCATTTTAAGCATATAATCGGTGGCAAATATAATTATCCGTTCATTAGAATCTCCGCCATTATCATGCATGCAAAAGAAATCTCTCATTCGTGGGAGATCCGGTTGTAGCCCAATCCTCTAATATTAAAAGATATTTCCAATTAAAAGTTATTTATAGACATAAATATGATTTAACCTGAAATGCTTAATTCTTCCAATATGGCCGGAATAGGAGGAAACCTTTTTATTTTGCTATTTCTAAGTGTCCTCTTGATACTCTCTTCATTCGGAAGTCTTTTTCTGGATTCGGGAGACAATTTAGACATTTCTTCTGCATATATTTGGCAAGTATTTTGATTTGTTTCAAAGGCTTTTCTTGTCATCGTGCTTATAACATTTTCAATTTGATATTCATGTGGGTTTATAGGATGAATATGAGGCGTATTTTCCAATGTATAGTCATTTTCATTGAAATATTTCAAAATAACGGGGCATTTTTCAGCATTATATAATTTACATTTATATCTTTTAAAATTTTTCGTAGTTTTATGATAATTGTAGGAATATCGCTCATGAAAAATTTTAGCATGCTTATTTAACGGAAGAATAAACATAAAAAATTTATTAAAATTATCAAAAATATTTAAAATGGTAAAAGAAAATTTTATAAAAAGTAATAAAAAAAACTAAATGAAAATCGTTTCTTTCAAAATTACATAGAATATATCACCCAAATATATAAATTTATTTATTTTTGAGCATAAATTTCCTTTCAACGTTATAAATAATAATAAAAATATCAGGGAACTAGGATTATGTAATAACATTTCAAGAGTTGGAAACTTTCAAATAAAAAAAGTTTCTATTTTAAGATTATAGTCCAGCCTTTCTTTGATGAATTAAATATATTAAAAATTATAATATTTATTAAATTAAACAAATACTATTTAGAATAAATAGTATATTTTTTTGTAATGTTCTTACTTGAGATAGTCTTTGAATTAAATAAGCTTTTGTAATCAGTGATTAATATTAATACTTTTTTTGAAAATTTATAATCAGATACAATTTTTAAAAATTAAACATAAAAATTTCCATTATGTTATTTTTGTCCGGGATTCAAACTGATATTAGCATACAGAACAGAATAGTGTCATAATTTTATTTTAGTGTTATATATATTTTAACAGTGGCGTGTTAGAAATAACCACCCCCTCTGCATGGTAAATATAATGTGGTTTAATTACCTGTTTAATATCTATTATTCAAGTCTAGATGAAAAGTAGGTAAAGGAAATAACCTTTCTCTTTCTCAGTAAAAATTTGCTTTCACATTTTTCTTTTCAATTCTAAATTACCTCTTTCATAATTTTCATATATTTCTACGGGAATTTTTTTCCGGGTAATTATTTTCCAAGGATTTTTTTCCGGGGAATTATTTTCGGTGATTTTTTTCCGGGGAATTATTTTCCGCTTACCAGTAAATTTGATCAATCGAATATTTAGTAAGAGGTCGGTTTTGAGCTCGGCAATCGGTCAAATCAAATTATTTTCAAAATATTTTTCAGGATAATGCATAGCACGTAAATATACACGTATAAAACAAAAATTAAGAGATTTTGATTTATAACGCCAGCAATTCAGCATTTAGTCATTGGGTGAGCTAGGAGTCGGTTATCCGCCAAATCACGATATTTTAAAAATATTTTTTAGGATTATGTTTTATACGTATTCATAGATATATAAAACGAAAATCAACATTTCTCAAATTATATAACTAGTAAATAAACTATTAGAAAGACTTCATGCTTAAAAAATTGGATATTATCAAATTCGGATTTACTGTAATTTTATATTTTTGTGTATTATTTTCTATTTTTATAAAATGAGATTATTGTACATTTTTAGAAAATTTTAATAAAATTTGAATATTAGATTGAAGAAATAGTTTAAATATTTTTTTATAAGCAATTCTAATTCTAAAAATCGGATATTTTGGTCAATTTGTTTGGTTAACGTTATATGAAATCATTGGGTTTTATTTCGTTTATTTTCTATAAATTTTTATATTGTAATGACAATTAGTTTAGAGAATCCTTAAAAGTGTCATCTTTAAACATCTGTAAAATTTTTTTTGCAAAATATTTTCTAAGCTTTAGAAAAATTTTCGAATCGAATCGAATATTCGACGAATCGAAACGAATAATGATTTTATTATTCGTACGAATACGAATAGCGCTATTATTCGATTCGATTCTTTTTTTTGTAGGCCTACTTGGGAACGAATGCACATTGATTTGACAGGCCCCGTGTCTGGGAAGTACTGGTTAATTTGCTTAGACACTTTCACCAAAATGGGTTGAAGTTGCAATTTTAACACATATTAATTCGAAGAGTGTAATAAATAATCTGCGTAATTATTTCGCTAGATTTGCTTTACCGCCTTACATTGTCTCAGATAACGGTACTCAGTTTACTGGATCTGAATTCTAAACGTTTCTTTTTAAAAATGGTATTAAAGATTTTAGATCAGCCTCTTATCGCCCCAAATTCGAGTGGTTTGGCTGAGCATTATATACGTGCGATAAAGACGCGTTTCTATGCTAGAAGGAGAAGTGAGACTCCGGACCAGTTAAATTTAGCGAATGTTTTAATTACACACCGAAATACCCCATACGCAACTACCGGTAAATCCCCTGCCGAAATGATGTTTGGAAGGCCGCTCAGGGCGACGCTAGAACAATGGAAATTATCTACGAGAGAAAGGACTGAAAACGTGTTACGTTGAGCCCCGTGAATTTGAAGAGAAGCAAAAGAATTGGGTAAAAAACAAAAGGACTGCGGGGATGGCACTGAAGGGACAGTGGTTCAACGGAGAAGTGCGATATTGTATGATGTTGAGTCTGAGGGTATTGTAAAAAACCAGCATGCCGACCTGAGGGAAGCTCATGTACAAGCTAAAGAAATACCCATAACAATGGCTGAGGATTTGGGCATTGCAGAACATAATGGAAATACAACTCTAGAAAAAAGAGTTTCAAAACCCCCATTACGTTATTATGAGGAATTAAATTTATAGTGGGGAGAACTGTAATGTATTTAAATAAATAGATTTTTATATTTGCTAAAAACTACAATATATTATAATTTATAAAAATGGAAAAACATATATATATTTTACTATATGAAATAAATCACTTTATATTATTGTTCTGAATACATTTCAATAGAAAAATATAGGTAGTTTATATTAGAATATGAGAAATACTGTATTTTATTAAACACCAAATCTATTACATTAGGAGCAGCGCCAAGAGCCAATAAGTAACTTTTATTTCTTTACCAAACTACAGGATTAAGGTTAAGTCTTAATATCAAGAGCAGTAACCGCGTTAGTGTTTAACTTATCGTTATATTAGCAAGATAAGGACTAATTTTTTTATTAGATTTAGAGTGAGGAATACTATATTTTATTAGACACAATCATTAAGCATTCAGTAAAATATATATGAACTGAAAATTAAACTAAAACCTCATGTGGAAACAAATTAAATGTATTGGATGTTGATTTCAAATTATTTTTTGTTTTTATTTTATATAAAAAAAATTTTTTTTTCATTTTTAGCTTTCACCTTTTCTGGTGGGATTTATAATTACTTTTTAAATCTTATATCATTATTTGATCCAAAAAAAAACAAATGGGTTATCAATAACTTCATCATTAATTAAATATTTAGTTGAGATTTATATTTTATTTTACAAAAATTAATATTCATATCTATTCTATTTATCTGATTTTATTTCTTTCTTAGATTCTTTTATCTTATCATTTATTAGATTAAAATTTTTGCAAATATTTAATAGAATTGTATAACTATAAGTTTATCTCTTATTTACTGCCAATATTTTTATATTGGTAATATCTAAAATATTATATTTTAAATATAAAATTGGTCTTTAAGGGACTGGCTTTTATTTTTCTACTTATTTTATGCAGATCATTATGACTTGCATGAATACCCTAAAAATAATGAAAAAATATTAAATGAATTTACTTTTAACAGAGGATGAATTGTGATATCTTGTAAAAGATATTATTTTAAACTGGGCTTACTAATGAGGCTATTTTGAATATATTATCTTTATTCATTCTTAACATATGAATTAAAAATTACGTATCAATAAATCCGAATCTCATAATAATTAGTATTATGTTGACAATTTATAAAAATAATATAACAAACAAAACTTTAATTGCAATATCTCAATAAGCCTAAAAGTTCATAATATATGGGAATAGGGCATAGATTGCGATGCATTTTTATAAATTAATCTCTGGACTGCTGTGTAAACACATGAAAACCACTTTGACTACTGCCTATGTATCCTCCCCCATATATACCAGATAGGTTTTTAAGTGACTTTTTCCCTAGGTTACTATTTTATTAAAACTTACCTTGCACATTACATGTACATACATCATTTCAAATAGCAATAGCCCTTTACAATCAGTATTGTTAAACGCATCTTTAAAAGAGAGGGCTACTCCTATAGCTATCGCAATTTGGGAAAAAGATAGCGCGCTTTCACTAATTTAACCTGTCAAAAACCAAGTGGCATACTATGGGCTAACCCTACCTTAAAAAAAGTACTAATTAATCTTTTTTCCTTCTTTGGTTATAATGTATTTTTTGCGACAAAAATATCGACATTTAAAAATGACAAAAGACTTCGAGCCAGTAGAATTTTATTGAAGTCTACTGGATTTTCGACTATGCTCATTGGTTGAATAGTATCAGTTATAATTCTAAGAGTTTTTGATTAACCATTGGAGAAGCGAAGATAATATAAGAACTTTTGGCAAGCAGTAGGGAAACTTTAATAGTAAAATATAAAGGTCGCTTATGTAATAACAATTAAAATATATAATAATAATTTACTGATCCTCTATTATATATGATTGCAAACACATTTACCATAAAATAATAAAAATTAGAAAATGATAGAAAAATTTAAAGTAGAAATTTGAAAAGTAATACAATATAGTAATTGTGTGAATCGCAAAAGAAATAAAAAATTAATGACGCATAA